GAATTTTTTTCTCACTCTTCTGTTTAACTGCATTAAAAGCCTAAAATTCTGTATAATTAATGAGCATCAGACCCACGTGACCACAGAGCTAGCTCCGGGGAAAGGGATATTATTTGTGCAATTGTTGGACAAAATGACTTGCTGTGGTATTAATTGCACTAATAGAGCGTCCAAGGAGTGTCCACTTCATTTTTTTCAGTAAGTAAAATTATATTTTTGTATTTTAGGTCACTGCCGCTCTTGCACTAGCTGAGCTTAGATTTTAACATGTACTTTAACCATGAAATTTAAATTTAATAGGGTAAAACCCAGTGCATTTAACATAATGCTGCACTTTAGAAAATGGGTGGAAATATAACATGTTGGTGGAGCTGGGTTCCGACTATCGGCTTGTGGAGCTCTCGGGAGACCTCTGTTTTCCACCCGGTTCTCCCCTCCCCGCAGCTCAGCGCATCTCTGTCTGATCGCGGCTTCTGTCTGCTGCACGAGCTGCCGGCTTGTGGAGCTCTGGATGGAAACCAATGTTTTCCACCCGGTTCTCCCCTCCCTGCAGCTCGGCGTATCTCTGTCTGATCGCGGCTTCTGTCTGCTGCGCGGGCTGCCGGCTTGTGGAGCTCTGGGATGAAAACCTTTCCACCCGGTTCTCCCCAGCGGCGCTTGTCTGCTGTGTGGCTGCCGGCTTGTGGAGGTCTCGGGAGACGTCTGTGTTCCACCCGGTTTTACCCAGCGGTCAGCCCTGCGTATCTCTGACTCAGAAGCTCTGGTGTTGTGCACATTTAACTCCGGTTGTAGTAGCTAGGTTGCTACCTCCGTTAGCTTAGCTCCCACCTCCACGTTAGCTTTGGGTTAGCTTCAGGTTAGCTTGTAGCTAGTTCGACCGGGTGTCGTCAGTTGATCCCAGCCTTACAGCCCCACCCTCTTCCCTTTTGTGGAATTGTCTGGGCTTGACGGAACCTGTGACACAGTCAAAATGGCGGTGGTGGCCACCTCCCATTTTTATTCAAAAACGTGTTATTGGAGCCTTTGGAAACCCATTGTCCAATATTTATATGTAGATGCTGCAGACGCAGCACCGTCGTCGTCGTCGTCTTCCTCCGCTTATCCGGGTCCGGGTCGCGGGGGCAGCATCCCAACTAGGGAGCTCCAGGCCGTCCTCTCCCCGGCCTTGTCCACCAGCTCCTCCGGCAGGACCCCAAGGCGTTCCCGGACCAGATTGGAGATGTAACTTCTCCAACGTGTCCTGGGTCGACCCGGGGGCCTTCTGCCGGCAGGACATGCCCGAAACACCTCCCCGGGGAGGCGTCCAGGAGGCATCCTGACCAGATGCCCAAACCACCTCAACTGGCTCCTTTCGATCCGGAGGAGCAGCGGTTCTACTCCGAGTCCCTCCCGAATGTCCGAGCTCCTCACCCTATCTCTAAGGCTGAGCCCGGCCACCCTACGGAGGAAACTCATTTCGGCCGCTTGTATCCGCGATCTCGTTCTTTCGGTCATTACCCAAAGCTCATGACCATAGGTGAGGATTGGGACGTAGATCGACCGGTAAATCGAGAGCCTGGCTTTCTGGCTCAGCTCCCTCTTCCCCACGACAGATCGGCTCAGCGTCCGCATCACTGCAGACGCCGAACCAATCCGCCTGTCGATCTCCCGATCCCTCCTACCCTCACTCGTGAACAAGACCCCGAGATACTTAAACTCCTCCACTTGAGGTAGGACCTCTCCCCCGACCCGGAGGTGGCAAGCCACCCTTTTCCGGTCGAGAACCATGGTCTCAGATTTGGAGGTGCTGATCCTCATCCCAGCCGCTTCACATTCGGCCGCGAACCTACCCAGCAAGAGCTGAAGGTCAGAGCTGGATGAAGCTAGGAGGACCACATCATCCGCAAAAAGCAGAGACGAGATTCTCCTGCCACCAAACTCGACACACTCCACACCACGGCTGCGTCTAGAAATTCTGTCCATAAAAGTGATGAACAGAACCGGTGACAAAGGGCAGCCCTGGCGGAGTCCAACCCTCACTGGGAACAGGTCCGACTTACTACCGGCTATGCGGACCAAACTCACGCTCCTCTGGTAAAGGGACTGAATGGCCCTTAACAGAAAGCCACCCACCCCATACTCCTGGAGCGTCCCCCACAGGGTGCCCCTGGGGACACGGTCATAAGCCTTCTCCAAATCCACAAAGCACATGTGGATTGGTTGGGCAAACTCCCATGCCCCCTCCATCACCCTTGCAAGGGTATAGAGCTGGTCCACAGTTCCACGGCCAGGACGAAAACCACATTGCTCCTCCTCTATCTGAGATTCAACTATCGATCGGACCCTCCTCTCCAGTACCTTGGCGTAGACCTTTCCAGGGAGGCTGAGGAGTGTGATCCCCCTATAGTTGGAACACACCCTCAGGTCACCCTTCTTAAAGATGGGGACCACCACCCCGGTCTGCCACTCCCTAGGAACTGCCCCCGATGACCACGCAATGTTGTAGAGACGTGTCAACCATGACAGCCCTACAACATCCATAGCCTTGAGATACCCAGGACGAACCTCATCCGCCCCCGGGGCTCCGCCGCTGTGTAGTTGTTTGACTACCTCAGCAACTTCTGCCCCCGAGATCGGACAGTCCATCCCCAGGCCTCCCAGCTCTGGTTCCTCCTCGGAATGCGCATTGGTGGGATTGAGGAGCTCCTCAAAGTATTCCTTCCACCGTCCGACTATAGCCTCAGTTGACGTCAGCAGCTCCCCATCCCCACTGTAAACAGTGTGAGCGAGTTGCTGCCTTCCTCTCCTGAGGCGCCGGACAGTTTGCCAGAACCTCTTTGGAGCCGATCGATAGTCTTTCTCCATGGCCTCACCAAACTCCTCCCACGCCCGAGATTTTGCCTCGGCAACTGCCACTGCTGCACCCCGCTTGGCTATCCGGTACCTGTCTGCTGCCTCCGGAGACCCACAGACCAGCCACGCCCTGTAGGCCTCCTTCTTCAGCCTGACGGCTCCCCGAACCTCTGGTGTCCACCAGCGGGTACGGGGGTTGCCACCACGACTGGCACCGGCCACCTTACGACCACAGCTAGCAACAGCCGCCTCGACAATCGCAGAGTGGAACAAGGCCCACTCGGACTCAATGTCCCCCACTGCTCTCGGGACGCGGTCAAAGCTCTGCCGGAGGTGGGAGTTGAAGACCGTCTTGACAGGTTCTTCTGCCAGGCGTTCCCAGCAGACCCTCACTATGCGTTTGGGTCTGCCAGGTCTACGCGGCATGTTCCCTTGCCATCTGATCCAACTCACCACCAGGTGGTGATCAGTTGACAGCTCCGCCCCTCTCTTCACTCGGGTGTCCAAAACATACGGCCGCAGGTCAGATGATACGACTACAAAATCTATCATCGACCTGTGACCTAGGCTGCCCTGGTACCAAGTGTACCGGTGGGCATCCTTATGTTCGAACATGGTGTTCGTTATGGCCAAACTGCGGCTTGCACAGAAGTCCAATAACAAAACACCGCTCGAGTTCTGATCAGGTGGGCCGTTCCTCCCAATCACACCCCTCCAGGTCAAGCTGTCATTGCCCACGTGAGCATTGAAGTCCCCCAGCAGGACAATGGAGTCCCCTGATGGAGCACTATCTAGCACTCGTCCCAGGGACTCCAAAAAGGGTGGGTACTCTGAACTGATATTTGGCCCATAAGCACAAACAACAGTCAGGACCCGTTCCCCGACCCGAAGGCGCAAGGAAGCTACCCTCTTGTCCCCCGGGGTAAACCCCAACACACAGGCAGAGAGTCTCGGGGCTAACAAAAAGCCAACCCCAGCCCTCCGCCTCTCACCCGGAGCAACTCCAGCAAAGTAGAGTGTCCAACCCCTCTCCAGGTCTCGGGTTCCAGAGCCAATGCAATGTGTCGAGGTGAGTCCGACTATATCTAGCCGGTACCGCTCAACCTCTGCCACAAGCTCCGGCTCCTTCCCCACCAGCGAGGTGACGTTCCATGTCCCAAAAACTAGTTTTCTTGTCCGGGGATTGGACCGCCAAGGCTCCCGCCTTGGTCTGCCACCCGATTCACATTGCACCGGACCCTTCATGTTCCTCCTGCGGGTGGTGGGTCCACAGTTGGACGAGCCCATGTATCCGGTTCGGGCTGGGCCCGGCCGGGCCCCATGGGCGAAAGCCCGGCCACCAGGCGCTCGCTCACGGGCCCCAACCCCAGGCCTGGCTCCAGGGTGGGACCCCGGTAACCCTCCGGGCCGGGTACTCCGACTCTTCGTTTTCACCGCCATGAAAGATCCTTCGAACCGTTCTTTGTCTCACCCTTCACCTAAGACCAATTTGTCATGGGAGACCCTACCAGGGGCACTAAGTGCCCCAGACAACATAGCTCCTAGGATCATTAGGGCACTCAAACTCCTCCACCACGATAAGGTGACGGTTCAAGGAGGATATTTATATGTAGATGCTGCAGACGCAGCACCAATCCACCTATCTATCTCACGCTCCATCTTTCTCCCCCTCGTGAACAAAAGCCTGAGATACTTAAACTCCTTCACTTGGGGCAGGACCTCATCCCTGACCTGGAGAAAGCAAACTGAAAGATCAATATACAAAATACTGGCTTTATAAAGTCCTTTATTGTTTAACAGACTTCTAAACATTCCTTTTACATCACCAAGGCATTTTGCCAGTCTCAAATAATTAGAAATTAAAAATACAACATGAGGTTGACAGAAGGCACGTCAAGGAACACATTTAACACATCAAGGAACACATTTTTGAGCAATGCAAATAGTGATTAAAAACATTCACGTTTCAAAGCTGTGTGATTTTTATACTACTGTACTGTACTTTATATTACTGTAATTAAAGACTCAAGTTTCCATTTTCATGCCCATATCAGCCTAAAGCATGACTAATTTGTGCCAGTTTTGTTATGATCATGTAGAAATCCACGTCAAACAACTCCTGTATCACGTGACTAAGGCACAAGCATCACTTTGTAATTTCCCCTGAAGTCACCCATGCGGCTTGGAGGCGCACCGGCTCCACACAGCAGCCAACATCGTATTATGGCCTCCTTCTGAGCCTCCTCATACGAGACTTGTGATCTCAGTTTGCCGGCAATCCGTCGCCATCGACGCCTTGATCATGGACCTGTGGTCCAGAGGCTCATTCGGGGGTCATCGGAGATGTCATTAGGACTCCAGAAAGTTTATATTACCAGATTTTCGGACACTGTCACTTTTGGACGTCCAGGGATTTAAAACGGAGTGACAGTAGTAGCAGCCCCCCATCTGCCGGTCAGCTAACTAAGAAGGGCATCACTCGTCTGTGGAAGTGAAGAACAAGAAAACTGCAAATAATAACAGAAGATTGATCCCCCGACTTCCTAAATTACGGCACTGTCACTGTTGGTACCTGGTAAGAATTTAACGGAGGTGAAGTTAGCTTTATGTGCTACATGCAGGGCTGTATTTCTATCGAAGGCATGAAGTCAGGCAGAGCAGGCCCTGCCTCCTGTCACTTTAGACTCAAGATGCAATGTCCGCTAATTGTTCCGTATAAAACAACCGAGCACATGTATAAAGTGTGTTTTTTAAATATTAGTTTGGATATTGTTCTTTGGCTGCTTAAACGTACGGCTCTTATAGTCGTGCTTGGCCGAAGTTATCCTGACGTTAGCAGAAATGACAGCTGTTAGCTAATCTGCACCGGTGTTGTACCGAAAAAGGCACCCCGACCGGTCACTGTCTTCGTGGAGTAAAACCGGTTTTAATGCAAATGCAGCGTTTTGATAGTGACCATATAGTTGGCATTTAATAATCTAAATAGCATATTTAACCACTCGAGGCATAAATACATGTAAGGTTAATGGTTTTATTTTAATCTGAAGTATATTGGGCCTGTGGATGGATATACCTATAGGTTAGTATACTAACCCGCTAGCTAGCGCCCACCTTAAAAGCTTTAAAGTTACTCAACGTATCTCCAATGTGACAACATTTTAGCCAACGCAGGTTTTTAAGTTTTATTCATGTTGGTATGAATGCTTGATCTATCGCACACGGGCTATTAAAGTGAACAAAAGGTACGGTATGGTTAATTCTGGACTAAGCCACGTAGCGTAAGTACACAACATGCCCGTTGTAGCGGGACACGTAACGTTAGCTGGGCTAGCATTCATAAAGCTGCTATGCTAGCAGGCCTGAACATTTTATTTTTTCGAACATCTCGCCTCTAACGTATCTATATTTACGTCGAGGTGATGTATTTCTTAATAACCGTCTACAAGACTGTTATATACGACCATAGTCTGAACCAAATGTTACAATTTTGTATCAAATCCCCGAAGCATGGCATTAGCTAACGGCTACTAGGTCCCGTGTCAGCAGGTGGATGTTTCATGTCACGTATGCTAGTGGTATTCGTAAGTTTTATTTATTTTTATGATATTATTTAATTTAAAAACGCCTCGAAACCACAGTTAGTCGAATAATCCACTCTGACTATTGAGCTGCTGCTCACAGTTTGGCACGAATATTGCCTTATTTGAATAACCTGTTTGCTAAAGCTAGCACAACACAGCAGATGACCTTTGACCCGAGGTATCCATTTTCTTGAACTTAAAGAAAACATGAAAAATCCCATTCATTTGGAAAGAGATCTATTAAACCGTTAGTGACCTCCATCAGTTTGCTGTTGGATTTAAGCTTACCCTTGCTAAGTGTTTTGTGTTTTTATTTAATTATTCAGGTTTGATGGGATGGTCAGAGTACTAATCTATTACAGCATGATTAAATAAAACTAAGAATGCCTGTGTGTAAGACTTAAGGTGTTATGTGTGTAACATGCATGTGTGGGTGGTGGTAGTGGTGGCGTTATCTTTGCCAAAACTACAGACCACACCCATTAAGCTTGTGCTACACGTTTCTGTACACTATGGACACATTTGGAGAATATTGGAAATACCTTTTTAGATTACTAAGGTTTTAAAGCATAGCTTTTCTCGCATGTAAAAGTTAATTATATTTTTTGGGATTTTCTCTCATCAGAAAGGCTGGCAACACACAGCCACCCTGATGCAGACCCATAAAAGAACGTGAAATGAACAAACCACCACAACCCTTAACGGGACCTACGTCAGTCCCAAACCCCTCTCCTTCCCCTGGATTGACACAGGTAAGATCCAATTACCAGGCCTATGTGCACATTTCCATCATATTAGTAACTTTTGATATTTGATGAGTTTTTCTATATTTTCCTTAAAGGCTGCATACGGCCCTGGGCAACCATCTCTTGTTTTTGCCGCCCCTTCACCTCCACAAATGAATTCTGCACAGCAGCCAAGACAGGTACTTTTGTCAATGTATTCTTTATCTCTGCTGAGGGCTTTAACATTCCAGTCTCTTTATGAAAACTCTACTTTGGCTTTGTGTGTTTTGTGTGTGTAAATGCCTATTAAATATCAGTCTTGACTTCTTTACTCTCTTCTGCTGTCCTCCTAGTTTGCTACAGGGCCCCGTACTTTACACCAACAGGTACTAACTTCTATACAATTCCTTTATCTCCATAATGCATGTTTTCGTAACCACAAATTGGGAAATCAGACAAATCCTTGGTAGTTTTTCACATTTTATTGGCTCTTTCAGGTGAGCACTTCGTTCTCAACATGCATTTTCTTTTCTTTATAATCTTATCTGGAACAAGTTTTGATGCAGCTGTTTTTTTTAATCCTGCATGTAACCTTTCCCCCCCTAATCTGTTTAGACATCACAAAGCCAGCGCTATTTCTAAAATCAAAAAGAACATGCATTTTTGTCAACCTCTAATCTGTCCAGATGTTTTTAAAAATTAATGACTATGGGTTTGTTAGAGTAAACTTTTATTTTGGAACACTCCTATTTCTCTTTCCTGCCTCAGCTGTAGTTTCCAAGTCGCACTGAAAGTTAAATGTGATTTTGACTCGTGTCAGATGAAGTGGGATTTCTTGCTGACTCATAAAACTGCAGTGTTTTAAATTAAAAGGGCTCGGACTGAAAAAGCAGAGCTACGACGCCACTTACTCAACTTTTTGTGCCTTCATTTTTTTCAAATGGTGTTTTCTATAATTAGTCAGTATTGATACCCCCTCCATTATTTTAATATAGTATTTTAGGACTAAAACTTAAAGTTATGGTTCACTGAAAAAACAAGTCGAGGAACAGTCCATCTGAAAAAGTTCTTAGGGGAAACTGTTGTTAGCGTTGGCAGCGACACCGCACAGCAAAAGCTCCTCCAGGCTTGGAGATAAAATATCAGTGTTGTAAGTCATTGGTAGAGTCGATTTGCTGTTATCCAATCTGGGGCGAGATGTCCAAATATCAGGAAATAAGACTCTGAAGCTGAAGCTCAGCTGTGATGTGGTTCACTTCTAGTTCCTGGAAATGGTGCACCAGTGTTTGTTTTTTTTTTTTTCGCCCAGAGAACGACTTTCAAGGCACTTATTCCTACTAGAGACCACTGCAAATGTGTTGATGAAACGAGTGAACTACACCTTTAAGAAAATCAAAATCAGGAATTATAGTTACCTGAGCTCAAACTATGTTGATCTTGTTGGAAGGGTGCCAGGGTGACATTCTTTGTTGCTTGAAACATGACTACTGCAAAGTAGAGAGCTTGATCACAGCTTTGGCATCCTGATAAATATCTACTTTACCTTGCATCATTGGTGGCTAAACAGGAAACACATCTCAACTAATTTAATCTATTAACATGACAAATTTATAGTCTGAATCTGCATTTGTGTTAGTTTTATCAAAGCGCTCAAAACTCATTCAGCTTGTATTTCTCTGGATTTGCTGCAGCTCTTTGTGTGTGTGTGTGTGTGTGTGTGTGTGTGTGTGTGTGTGTGTGTGTTGTATTTTCCCATCTGATGAGTTTGAAAGTTGCTTAAACACATTTATTCCTTCAGTCTGAGCTGAAGTTGGGTGTATTTATAAATGGTAGTGGAACCACACTTAGAGGTGACTGAAGCAAAATGGCTAATAAATGCCATGTATAATCAACTACTATCCCTTTTGGGACGTTTTCCAGGCTGATAGTTTTTCTTCAGGATTCCTGGGGCCTCATTTATCAAACATTCGTAGAAACTGTCCTATATTCCCTTAGCCTAGTGAAGTAGACCAAATTCTTGCTTTGCAAAATTTGGTCTAGGCATGCTCCATTGGAACCTCCGCAGCTCCTACCAGGACTCTGGCTAGCCAATCACAACTCTCTAGAGGGGTTTCAAACACATAAAGAGCTGTGATTGGTCCATAATGGTGGGCCAGTCATAGTGCTCTATCTGCTTAGTGAACAAATCACAGAGCTTTATCCGCTTTGTGGGCCAATCAGGGCACTCTATATGCCTGGTGGGTGGGATGATGCAACAGAGTGAAACAAGAGTATGTCACATTCATTGTCCAGTAGCATGCAGAGATCATTTGAAAGACAACGGTAGAACCCGCCCCACAACCGAGAGCCATCAATGGAGCATCGCCAGACTAAATAATACATTAATTTAGTCTGGCTTGCCAGGCTAATATTCCCTCCTAAGACCGAAATTAATAATCTGTGTATGAACAGTCAAAAGACTGATTTGTGAAACGTGCTGTGACCTCTACTACACATGTTACTCCGCAATCGTCTGATGATGAATCCCAACTGTGCATACCCAGGTGCTCGTGTCTGTTCACCATCATTTACATAGAGAGAAGCCCTCAATTAACTAAATTTGGTCACACTACGTCCTCAGCACGTGAGGAGGTTCCTTGTTTTTTTCCAGAAAAAAATAAGAAATACTTCATTGACTGCAAGAACGAAACACTGGCTGCTGAAGCGCAAAAGAATCAAACAAGTTGCAGATGTTATAAATGCGGTCGGGACTGAGAAAAGGTTCCTGTCAGAAATGAAAATAATAAATGAATATAATAAATGGTGGAGCAACGGGTTGTTGAGAAGTTGTTCTGTGTGGAGTTAGTTTTATTTGGAAATGCTGTCTGAGAGCGCTGCCTCTTCTTAGCTGTCATTCACTCTGGTTGCATGTATGATCGAGGAGCAGAGGAGGTTCTGGGGTGTTCTCGTAGTTGTAAAACAAAATATGAACTGGAATCGGATTTGTGCGGTTTATCTGTTGCTCTACAAAGAGCCCCAAATCACAACCCAGCAGAAGTACTTCCTTTTGAGATCAGTGCACTCACGGAGAACGCTTTCCCTCCAGAGAGCAAGTTCCGGTAAATCCTCCAATAACACAGAACAGCCATGATATAATGCCAGATGTCTTTTATTGGTTTTAGCACCAATTATGTCAAAAGGCCGTTTTTCCACCAACATAACTACATACTGGGTAAATATAATTTGTGGATGACAAACACATTTGGATGACTGAGACATTCGGTATTGTGCTTCCCCGTTCCGCCACTAGATGCTCTGCGTACGCACGGTCAGAGATGTTCTTACATTTAGGAACGTTTCTACGCACAAGTACAAATTGATAAATGTCACACAATGGGTAGAATTGTTCCTACGCACAGATGAGTGATAAATGAGGCCCCTGGTTCCTGCAGTCACAAACAAGGAAGTAGAAGGGGAAAAGACCCTCCTTAAAAACGGGTTCCTGAAAAAGGTTCTCTTGTTCGAATCACAAAAAGAAGCTAAGTGCAAACTAAAGTTTCTATGTGCAACAGTTTTTATTCCATGAAAAGATGAATCTGATGGACCAGAGGGTATCCTGTTTTAAAGCTTCTTTCTGGAGTATTTCTCTTATCTGATGGCACCATTTAGTGGCTGACAAGCATATCACACAAAAAGTCTATTTCTCTGTTTGTTTAAGATCGCGACTTCACGTTTCTGTTCATAAATGTGCTTCTTAGCGGACAAACGGTGCTAAAACACGCTGTTTTACGAGTATTATTTTCATGTCATGTTGTGTTTTCATATATTTATATTTTAGAGACTTGCTTGTCCGTGAAAAGTTCATCAACTCTGCATCAACCGAGGTATTCCTTAAATTTGAAGCAAATGAGCGGTAGTCTAATGCTATTGGTTAGTTCTAGTCGGCGCTCAGTTTCCTATTGAATGGAGCTCTGCGGGGCAGGGGGCGTGCTTAGCAAAAAATAAATAAAAAGATGTACTGTATGGCTTACATTACATCACAATACATGATAAGATAATCACTTTTACGGATTTCTGAAAAATCGTACATTTCTGAAAGGGGAAAACTCCGGAAAGCAGCTTTAACTGGATTCTGTACAGAGCTGCATGTGCATTTATGGTTGTTTAAACTAACCGTTCATGGCTGCAAGACACTCTTGTCTTTCACAATCCTCCCTCTCTTACACTTTGTAATCTCAACCTTCCTCATTGTCTCTAGTCCTCATTTTCACCTTAATCTCACTCCCTCTCTTGCTTTCTGCTCGTGTTGTGCGGCTGAAGGGTGGATTCAGAGCTTTACAGGTAACCGCTTTTCTCTTCATCACCTCCTCAGCCCCCCTTACTTTGGGATAATCTCAGTGTGGCAGGGCTACACGACTTTCAGAGCAGCGTAGGTCTCATGTTGAGAAACCCCTAAACACGACTATGACTGAACGCATGTACGAGCAAAAGAAGCTACAAAATGTTCAAACTTGGACCCGGACCACAGTAGCTGAGACAGTAAATGTAGACGATGACATGTCAGCTTCTGTCATTTCTTAAATACTCTGTTCTGTTTATTTTTCCTCAGAGTTACTATCCAAGTCGACCCACAATGGCCACCAGTGCTCCAAGGGTACAGGCGAGTAGTGGCCCTCGTCCCGTTGGACCTACGCATGTCTACCCCCCCAGCTCACAGATGATGATGGTCCCCCAGCAGCTGCCTTTTGCTGGCTCTCCTCAGGGCTACTTCATCCCACCTGGACAGGTTAGCTCACATGACTAACTTCTGTTCACACACATTAGCCCGCAACGCAAAAACCTACTCCCATCTACATCATCTTAACACACCAGACGACAGTTTAAATTTAGGGGAAAATGTGTTCACAGCAACAGGCCTGAATTTGGTGAGCACCGGCTAACAACGAGATACTAGATAGCTGTGCGGATGGGTTATTAGGCTGAGGGGGTTCTTATTTAATATTTAGGTGTTACTTCTTTAACCTCCTGATTTCGCTGGTTGACTGAGCAGACCCAGAAGTCACAGAGCTGAAGAATAGATCCTTAGCTTTTGTTTCTTAGCCCCAGTCTTAATTCCCTTTCACACAACACTGCTGGAGTTCAGCCTCAATTATAATTTATCATGATCCTTTTTTTTTTTTGTCTCTTTTCTCCAGCAGTACCGGACCCCGTACATGGCTCCTACTCAGCAGTATCCTGTGACCAGTGGTACTGGTTACTTCCCAGGAACTAGCCATGCTGACTTCTCTGGATATGGTAAGGGTTTTAACCAGAGACCAGCAGCAACCAAGCACAACCACAAACATTGAGTTTACTATTTTAAACAGGTAAACTCTCAGATACCAGAGTATCGGCCTCAAGTTCCTGCTTAATGCACCTCTAAATGTGTCAAGGTTTTGCTTGGATGTCTAAGACTGATTGATTCTTTTCTGTGTCTAAAAACTGCTGGAAGTGCTGAATACTAGCTGCACGTAGTCTGGCTTGATTCTGCTTTGGTCTGTGTTCTTCCTATCAGCAGTCTCCTGAAACGCTGCCTTTTAGGTTCCATGAAACGACACTGAGACTATCTCTTCCTTCCTTTTCTTCTTTCTAAAAGAAAGGATCTTATCTTATTAGCAGCCTTATTTGAACACTAGTGATTTGTGACCTGCAGATAAACTCTAGTGCACTTTTTAGGTGAGAACAGTCTTTAGAAACGCCCATCCGTTTGCACCTCTGACCTTTTGTTGTTCGGTGCTTTTGAACTGCATGAACCTCATAGTTATACCTACAGAATGGAGTTCCCTTTTTAACCAGACAGCAACAACAGCTGCTGCTCTAGTTTTCTAAAAATCATAATAAAATTGTTATATATATATATATATTTTTTTTTTCTCTCTCTACACTGAGGGGAAAAAAGTGACTCATTTTGTCGTAGGGCTGGGCGTCAAATCGAGAAAGTATTGTTGACATTTCTGACTAACTGATTTGGTTTTTGCCATGGAGAAGTAGGAGCAACAGGCAGGTGGTATGATGGCTCTGAAAGGTGTTGATCAGAATTTGCAGATCACTGTTTTTTGTTTCTCTGGAGATCGGCTACAGACTCTTCTTCTGGTCAGCGGACTGGAGATCAAAACTGTGAATCAAAAATTCAAAATTAAAACAATTCCAGGATGAACTGACAGTTTGTCCCGGTTCCAGTCAATGCTGGACGCCCAACCCTTGCAAAGATACGTCGTTTGTTCAGTGGCTACTGATTTAATTTGTCTCAGCAGTTTTCTTCATGATGCCACTGCTTCCATAGATAATAGGTGGTAGGAGTATGAGCCCCTTTTATTTTCCGAAACGACTTGGTTCAGAAGATTTAAGTATCAGGCTTTTCTCTGACTTGTTTAAAGGTTAAATTATCTTTGCATAGACAGAAGCATTTGCCTGGAAGAGCGTGAGAGGGAAATTAAGCTCGAGTTCATTTCATGGGACCTTCTTAACACCCTGCTTCCTCTGGATCCTCTCATTAACTCATTCTGCATCTGTCTCCTCCTCCTTTCCTCCTTCCTCCCGTCCCTCACCTCCCTCCCTCTTCCCTGCTGCGTTGGTTCAGAGCCCTCTCTTGCTGCGAGGGAGAGGCGGGGTGGTGGGGGGAGAGGAGGCGGGCGAGAGAACGGCCGTCTTTCTCTCCACGGTGCTCCTCTCACCTCCCAGCGCTACCCCGGTGAGTAGTGTGTGTGTGCTTGTGGTCAGCTAGCGTCAGTAGCAACAACCTTCACGGCTTCCCTGTCTAACCGTGTCCTGTTTTCTTACAGTAACACTTTACATTTAGATGTCTAAAACGTGTAGCTCACATACACAAAATAACGGATTGTGATTGTAATTAAGCTCCACTTGAATAAAGATTTTATTTATATCCGTCAGTGGAAAGAACATCAGTTGTTTACGAGTTTCCTTGGTGACTCTGAGGACACAGCTGCGCTCCCACAGCTTCATCAGTGTGACCGCATCCACCCAAACCACCCCCAGGAAACTCCACACTTGAAGATATTTATTGTCACATAAGTTTATTTCAAATACTGTGCAAAGTAAATGAAAATGTATTTAACGCAAACATATTTACAGACTCGATTTGCACTTATTTACACCCAAAACGATGCGCATAAACATCCTCAGTGTTTACGGCATAAACGTCTGGCGTGAGCTTTGTGTATGTGTGCAAGCAAAGGCAGAAAGTTGCACTTTGAAGTTTTATTTTTCACATTAAAGTTTAATCACCCGAAGATTTAATTTGTGTCAAATATTAATCTGGAGGTATTTGTATGTTTTTGTTTTTCCCCTGAGCAGCAGGAGCGTACTATCCAGCTCAGCACCAGTACTCTGCACCAGTCCAGCCTGCACAAGTCATGCTCAACCCCGCCCAGCCTCAGCAACAAGCCCCGCCTCCTCAGCAACCGGTGGCCCAGCCACAAGGCCCGCCACAGAGGAAACGCAAACAGGTAGCGCACTCCCAACAAAAGAACAACACACCTCTTGTAAAACACAGATGGACCGAAAGTGTATTGTTTGGTCAATGTGGAACTTTCCTTTTCATCTGAAAATAACAATAGCTTTAAAATGCTGGTTGGCAGCTTCACACCGTGTAATGGCACCGATGCGTGCTGGCTTTGTCTTTCCTGTACGTTAGGAGTAAACTGAAACCAGTTTTTACTTTCTCCATCTGACAGATAACAATACGAGACCCCAACCAAGGCGGGCGTGATATCACACAGGAGATCCTGTCGGGTGGGAAGGCTTCCACCACACCGACTCCTCCACAGGTAAGGCGCTGCTTTAGGAAGGCATTGCAGTGTTATCTTCTCGTTTAGTATTAGAAGAGCTAAATTTATTAGCTTTGAATGCTACAGATGTTACATAATAGTTTCTCAGGATTTCACGTCAAGTTTTTTGTTCCTTAGCTATTTTGTTCCACGGTTGTAGTTGCAGGGATTTGTTTATGCATCGTAACATCTAGTCATCAGAACTTCTTCGTCTGATGTTTGCCTGAGCAAATATTGTTGAACCAAAGGTTACTCAAATTCGCACATATTCTATAATAGTTGTATAGATAGATTAAAATAGTTTTATTAATGGTTTAAAAATGATAGCAATCAACAATCAATTAATAAAATAGTGTTTTTCCATAATCCCAACCAAAAATGGGAAGAATCTCTATAGAAGAGTTGGTTTTTAACTATCATTCTCTGTTCTTAGGCCTCGGTAGCAGATGAGAGTATCGCCCAAACCAACGGTGACGTTTCACAGCCTGTCACTGCCGTGACGGGGGGTAAGGACCATGCCCTTAATTCTGAAAATGCTTCTGCTGCCCAGTTTTTATTCATGAGTTTTTCTTTGTGTGTTCCCTGTTGAAAAGATGATACGGACCTCCCTTCCAGCTCTGAAACTCCTCCTCCTCTAGCTAACGCAGAGCTTGTGGTGGAGGTTGAACAGGAAGTGGACTGCCAAGTAGCACCGCCTGTGAAGTTGGTGCCACAGCCTGTGGCCACTGCAGCTGCTCCAGAGGTGCTGCTCCCACTAATAAAGGACCAGCAGTTTCCACCTCCCCTCCCTTCAGAAGCAGCTACCGCTAGCGTTGCTGAGGTCACAAACAAAGTCGGTTCTGATGCTGGCGACACAGTCGATGCTCCTGTCGGACCCCCGGCATTTGTAGCAGCTGAAGAGGTACCTGTGAAAACGGAGGAGCCACAGACTGCTGCTTCTGAAAAGGCCCTTGAAAAGGAAGAGGAGAAAATAGATGTTGAGGAACTGGAAATGGAGGAGCAGACGCCGAATGCCAAGGTAGAGCCTGGAGTTGAGGTTTCAGCATCAATCGCCCCTCTTGAGATGGCAAAAGAGGAAACGGCTGTAAAAGTAGCAAGTGAAGCCACTCAGCCTCTCCCGCCTGTACTGGAACCTGCAACGCCACAGACCCAGGATGTTGAGCAGTGCTCTGAACCAGACCCAGAACCCGAGGTAGGTGAAACTGTAGAGCCTCCCCTCCTCAACGGCCTTCCCCAGGAGACTGAAGAACTGTCTGAGGATGTACCCGTTTCTAACACTACACCCCACGACAAGCCCAACACATCTCAATCTCAGGAATCCACACCTGTGGCAAAAACACCACCACCAGCACAGGAGGAGGAGGTGGAGGAGGTGAAAAAGGAAGAGTGTCTGCAGAAGAAGAAAGAAGATGCCCCTCAAGCCACTATCAGCCGCCCAGAGGAACCTACTATGCAAGGTAGTGTTTAATTTATAAAGGACAACACAAAACTCATTCATAAGAAGGAAAGCATGTGAAACACAAAAAAAATTGTGAAATATTTTTCTGAGCAGCAGTTTAGTCTTCATGTCTCTGAGACTGCCCCCTAGTGGCAGCAACATGCTGCATCATGTTAATGCAGAGAGGAACAATCATGTTCAGTGTGTGTGACTCGTGTTTCTGATGGAGGAGAGCGCTTTAATATTTTTGACCGGCCTTCTGATCACACAGCAGAAGTAAGAATGAGAACGAGACAACGGGCCTCTTCATTGTGCTCCCCTCTTTAACTCATTCACTGCCAGCCGTTTCCTGATCGCTAATGGCCTTCGCTGCCAGCGTTTCTCACCGTTTTTACTGTTTTTTAAGAGTCACAGAACGTTGCGCGCTAGGATTATGTCGATGCCAAAACAACCAAAACAAAGAGGAGACTCACCTCTTACATCAGGAAGAATCCGTGTGTTTCGAGCGTTATCCGTTCTTTCATAATCCGTTGTTGAATTGTGATCGGCAGACGCTTTTCCGGTTCGCGCCTCACTTTTTTTACAGGAACGGCCCAAAACGATTTCCTAATACATGGATGGTCTGCTTCCTGATCATGTGACGTATGCGGATGAAGATCGGCTTCAGGGCTGAGATGTTTGTTCTCTCAGCGCGGGGGCTCGTTCCGATGCTCAAACAGTAAAAAAATGCAAATAACGACTTTAGTCGTCAATGGCATTGAATGAGTTAAGGAACCTTCCTGTGGGATGTAAAACGTTTAAATGTGTTTTTCTTTCTCAGAAAAGCAATTTTGAGTATTTGTTTTCCTGTTGATGCTGATGTCGGCCATTTCTGTTTGCAGCTGCTACGTCCGTCCCCAAAAAAAAGAGACAGATAAAAGAGCTCAACAAGAAGGAAGCCATTGGAGATATGCTGGATGCCTTTAAAGAGGTGCGTCTCATTTCTGATGTTTTAGGTAACACAAGGACACAGTTCCAGAGCAGCTCATTCACCAGCTATTTGGTATTTATAAAGGAACATTTGAATCTTTTAATCCTTTTAGCAGGAGCAGGAAACCAAGTCTGTCCCTGAACCTGCAACCATTCAGGCCAGCGCTCCCGATCCAGATCCAGCTCCAGCTGAACCTCCTGTTGAAGCAGTTGATGAGACCTGGGAGGAAAAGGAGGACAAGCAGAATGCAGAGACAGAGAAAACTAATGTCACCCTTGAGCCAACTGAGCAGAAATACCAGTACAAAGAAGGTAAGTTAGAGAGGATTTAAAATAGCTCCAGGGTTTTAAAGCTGTGCTACAAAACCCTGGACCACTTTGAACGTAAGCTCAAGGGTAAGTTGTCCTGTAGGCAGCAGCTTACTCCGATAACTGTATGGATTCAGTCTATAACTACAGAGCTTGGTACCTAGTCCTAGGTGTAGCCCTCTACAAGTTTACAGTCAAATAGATCCTGATACATTTTTGACGTTACACAGAACAATGGAAGCCGATAAACCCAGAAGCAAAGAAGCGATACGACAGAGAGTTCCTCCTGGGCTTCCAGTTCATCAGTGCTAGCATGCACAAACCAGAGGGCCTGCCCCTCATCAGCGACGTGGTCTTGACCAAGGTAGGTGGCAATTTATTCATTGTTGTTGAATAACTTGAATTGTTTTAAACTTGAAATTTTCAACTTAAATTCAGGTAAACAAGACCCCCCTCCGACCTGCTGACCCTGTTCGACCGATGAGTACTGGTCCAGATTTTACTCCCCCGTATTTGGACAAAGGTGGAAGAGGATCAGCCATAGGAACTCGATGCATGGTGAGTTAATTAATTCCCTTCATAATGATCATTAGTATGGTGTCCAGGTTTCCACAAAGTTTCCTGTTTCCTGTCTCTTTAAGCCTGTGATCCGCCGCTCCCAGCAAAACCAGCGAAAAGAGCCAAAGAAAATCGACATCAACAGCATGTCTCACAACAGCGAGGTGTCCCTCAACAAGTCCGTGAACCCCTGGAAGCCTTCTACCAAGAAGTCCGCCCACGGTCGTCCTGGAGAAGAGGCCGAAGAGGACGACGCCGACCAGGCCAAGACTCAAGAGCTGTTTAAGATCATGCGAAGCATCCTGAACAAGCTGACCCCGCAGAAATTCCAGGAGCTGATGAAACAAGTCACAGAATTGAAGATAGACACAGAGGAGAGGCTTAAAGGAGTCATTGACCTCATTTTTGAGAAGGCCATTTCAGAGCCCAACTTCTGTGTGGCCTATGCCAACATGTGCCGCTGCCTTATAAACGTAAGTCTTGTCACTTTAAAACGTGGTTTCTGCTCTAATGATGACTCTAGTTTTGTGCCACGTGTCTGGGCCACTGAACACTCGTGATGGGTTTGAGGAACTGAAAGAGCAAAGTTTCTTCCACACAGAACGATTAAAATGGTTAAACTCTTAAATTATTCCCCTACATCTCACTTTGTCCTCTTCCAGTTAAAAATCCCCGCCATAGACAAGTCCGGAAATGCCGTGACCTTCCGCAAACTGCTGCTCAATCGCTGTCAGAAGGAGTTTGAAAAGGACCAGGATGATGATGAGTTTTTTGAGAAGAAGCAGAAAGAGTTGGAGGCCGCCAAGGGTGTAAGTCAAATGTTCAGACTCAACCTGCTTGGTGTTCCCGACAGTAAACGCTAACACCCACCTGGATCCTCCCATCAGGACGAAGAGCGTGAACGCTTGAGGGTGGAGCTTGAAGAAGCCCGAGACAAAGCCCGAAGGCGCTCACTGGGCAACATAAAATTCATCGGCGAACTCTTCAAACTGAAAATGCTGACGGAGGCCATCATGCATGACTGTGTGGTGAAACTGCTGAAGAATCACGATGAAGAGTCTCTGGAGTGTCTCTGCAGACTTCTGTCCACCATCGGTAAAGATCTGGACTTTGAGAAGGCAAAAGTAAGCAAACGACTACCCAATTTAGCTAGTGAGGACTTTTGTCTTTGTGCCACATGTCTGGACCACTGATAATTAGATCATTAAGAGTTGGTGGCATCCATGAAATGATTCTTGCCTGATGTTTTTATATTTTATCGCTGATTTTCTTTTTGCAGCCTCGTATGGATCAGTATTTCAACCAGATAGATAAGATCATTAAAGAAAGAAAAACCTCATCTAGGATTCGCTTCATGCTGCAAGATGTGCTGGACCTTAGAAGGGTAAATATTCATTCTTGCAGTACTCGTGTCAGATCTGAGTTTTATTGATTTAAAGTCATTTGTACACATGCAATTTGTGTTTTATTATAAATTTCCAGTTTGGGGATGTTTTTAATCCTCGTTTCTCATTCCTGACCCTCAGAGTAACTGGGTGCCTCGTAGAGCCGACCAGGGTCCTAAAACTATCGATCAGATCCACAAAGATGCAGAGATGGAAGAGCACAGGGAGCAAATCAAAGTCCAGCAACAGCTCCAGTCCAAGAAAGATGGTGGAGGAAGTGGAGGAGGAAGCAGGATGGGAGGGAACATGGGTGGCCGAGGTCCTCACACACCAGGAGGCAGCCGGCTTAGCCAGCCTCAGGATGAGGGCTGGAACACGGTGCCCATCTCAAAGAACCGACCTATCGACACCACCCGCTTTAGCAAGATCATGAAGGTGAACCCTCCAGACTTTCTCTTTTGTTTTTATTCAGATAATTTTGAAATGTACATGTTTGAAAGTCGTGGTTTTAGTGCAAAGTTGGTCATTTTAGCTTTTTTATTTTTCTGTAGCCCGGCGCCCTTGACTTCAGTAATCAGCTGCTGTTTCCTGGTGGAAAAGACATGTGGGGGAGCTGGGGAAAAGGCAGCAGTGGAGGAAGTGGAGCAAAGCCAGCAAGTGGAGAGCAGGGTATGACGCCTTTCGTTGTTTTTGAATACTTTAGTGAATTTGGACATAATTAATAATTTTCTTCCTATTTTAGACTCTGGGCGTTCAGCCACCAGCACTCTTAACCGCTTCTCAGCCCTGCAGCAGTCTGGTTCCATGTCGTCGTCAGCAGACACCGATCGCAGAGTTCCCCAGAGGTTTGAAGAAGCAACTTCAGTGCTGCTTTCCTTTTTTAAGCCTCCCTGTTACTGTGAATGTCCCTTTGGAGCTTTTATTCATGTTAATTGAAAGGATAAAGAGGTTATTTTGTCCCTTTTAGCAATTGATTCAGCATGTAGTTTCTGAAACTGTCTCACTTTAAACTCTCAGGTTGAGCTCCAATCGCGAACACGGCAGTGACAGAGACAGGAGTGACCACGATCGCTTTGACAGATTTGCTCACAGCGAGGGACGAGACGGGAGCCAAATCACCAAGAGAAGCTTCAGCAGAGAGTCGCAGGAGCGTGGAGGACGGGGCGGAGATGGTCGAATCTCAACTGAACCTGTGCGCCGCGTCGCCAGCATGACTGACAGTCGGGACAGGGGGAGCAGGGACAGGGGGAGCAGGGACAGGGGAAGCATAGACAGAGGAAGCAGAGACAGAGGAAGTAGAGACAGGGGAAGCATAGACAGAGGAAGCAGAGACAGGGGAAGCATAGACAGAGGAAGCAGGGACAGAGGAAATAAAGAACAAGGGAGCAGGGACCGAGGAAGCAGGGACCAAAGTAGTCGGGACATTGGTCCAAGCAAAGACCTCCCAGGTATGAAGCCTAAAAAATGAAGGAAGTTTGAAATGGATGTAAGAATAAAAAAACGTCAGATCTAATCCCGTTTTGACCTTGTTCCTCTTCAGTGAAGCGTGAAGGTGCTCCCACTCCTCCCTCTCTTCCTAAAGCAACCTTGACTGATGAAGAAGTGGAGAAGAAGTCAAACGCCATCATTGAAGAATTCCTCCACATCAACGACGTGAAGGTACAAACTGTTGAGTTTGTTACATTTCCCCCGTGGGTGTTTGTGCTAACATCTTCCATCTCCATCATGTACCTGTAGGAGGCGCTGCAGTGTGTGGCTGAGCTCAACAGTGCCTCGCTACTTTATATATTTGTGCGCACCGGTGTCGAGTCGACACTTGAACGCAGCACTATCGCTCGGGAGCACATGGGCCTTTTGCTGCACCAGCTTGTGAAGGCAGAAACGTTGCCCATAAAGGAGTACTACAAAGGGTCAGAAAAACCATCCCATGATCTTCCTCCACACATCAGCAGTCTTATTGTCTATAGTCTAAAGTTGAGCTCCTGATGTATCCATCTGCAGGCTAAACGAGATCCTGGAGGTAGCGGAGGACATGGCCATAGATATACCTCACATCTGGCTCTACCTGGCTGAAATCATCACCCCCATGCTCCATGAAGGAGGCATCCCCATGGGACAGCTCTTCAGGTGGGTGCCACTACAAAAAGGAAGTAATAACAGATTTTTGTGGTAACTCATTCCACATGAATGGATTTTTTTTTTTTGTTGTTAAACTTCTGAAAAATTAGGCTGATATAAAATCTTTTAGGCTAAATTAACTCTTACTACAGATGATTTAGTGGTGCACAATTTCCCCTTTGGAATAAAAGATTGTAAACTAGGTCACTGATTTTCAGCAGAAACACTTGAGAGGCTTGAACATCAAAATTAATATTAAACATGACATCTACTTATTCTTTTAACAGCGGTGATATTAAACAACTAAATATTAGAAAGTTTTAAAGATGGCAGATGGTTTAACACAGTGGTCTTTTTGTCCTCTCTTCAGGGAGATCTCCAAGCCTCTCGTGCCTCTGGGGAAGGCTGGCGTGCTGCTGGCACAGATCCTCAAGTTGCTCTGCAAAGGAATGGTGCGAACATGAATCTAGAAATCTAAGGCTCTGTTGGATGTTCTGTTGCATTTTTACACATTTTAAATGTGCTATTCCTCCCATCAGACTCACAAGAAGGTTGGAACTTTGTGGAGAGAAGCAGAGTTAAACTGGAATGATTTTTTACCTAAAGATGAAGACGTCAACAAGTTTGTTACTGACCAGGTATGTGGGATCTGATTCCCAAACAGTTTTTTTTAAGCACAAGTCTGTCTTTTTTAACATTATGAAACGACATCACATGAGAATAGAGCAACTAAAAGCTGGTACTTCACATTAAAAGGAACTCAACAAGCTCTGAGAACAAATGACCTTTTTTAAAATGTAATATTGACAAGTTTTTATGTGAAGAAATAAAAATGAGTATGTATTTAACGAGTTGTGATGTGGGTAAAAATGATAGAAAAGGGCTTTAAAGGCATACGACATTCATATTTTTTAATCATTTTCTTAAGCAGGTATGCGTTAAATTAACCCGTTACAGGGTTAATGAAATGTTACTCAGACCCCTACCACCTTCTGTGGCCAGAATACCGCACTTGCAACTTCAAAGTCCAGTCAGTGTTGGACTTGGTAAAAGTGGAGCTGACATGCCAGCTCTGCATTCTGCTTCCAGCATGTTTTAGATATGAACACAGCTGATTTGTATGATTTAGTGATGAACAGCTCCTGTAGACACTAATGCAGGCTGAGGAGACAGTTCAGCTGTTAGATTAAGGTGTTAACAAGGTGAACGCACAGCGAGGAGATAAGTTTCACTTTTGATTTTACTCACTGACACGAGGGGGTGCTAAAAGCGAGCCTTAGCTGCCCAATATCACTTTAACTTTAACATTTACGCAAGTTATACAATTCTAATGGAAAACTGTGTGTTTCAGAAAGTAGAGTTCACCACAGAAGACACTGAACCAAAAGATGTTGGCAAGAAGAAGGTCCTGAGCGGAGAGGAACTCAGCAAACAGCTGGGCAGACTCTTTGAGGACAAAGTCGGCAACCAGCAAATCAGAGACTGGATCGAGGTTTGTTCATTTAGAGTTTGTGCTGGGAGAGGAGTATACTGTTGTTTGGTAGTCATGTCAAAAATCCAAAATTAAGCTGTTCCTGTGGAAGTTTTCGTTTTAGAAGTTTTTTGTTTTGTTTTTTCCCCAAGGCTAATTTGGATGAGCAGCAAACATCTACCAACCAGTTTGTACGAGCTCTGATGACCTCAGTGTGCCAGTCGGTAGTCATATGTAAGTGTGACCAACACTGCATGTAGAAATGTTTTTCTTTTTCTTTATTTCCTGAGTTCCAATGTCTTCTTCTCAACATCTTGTCTTAGGTGACACCCCATACAAGGTGGACGGACCACAGCTCAGCCAGAGGGCCAGCTTGCTGCAGAGATACCTGTGTGATGAGGAGAAGGAGCTGCAGGCTCTCTACGCCCTCCAGGCTCTTATGGTGCACATGGAGCAGCCTGCAAGTGAGTTCCTGCTCAGATCGGAAGCAGCTCCCATGTTCTTTTTCACTCTGCTGGTGGGAGGAGTCAAATCTGACCTTTGAGTTTTGTTTCTGCAGACCTGCTACGGGTGTTCTTTGACGCCCTGTACGATGAAGATGTAATTAAAGAGGATACTTTCTACAAGTGGGAGTCCAGCAAAGATGCCGCTGAGCAAAAGGGGAAAGGTGTGGCCTTGAAATCCGTCACCGGCTTCTTCACATGGCTCCGCGAGGCCGAGGAGGAGTCCGACAAGGAGTGAAAGGATGAAACCTGCTGTCCCCTTTTGTCCAGACGGGGGACTCTGAGAAGAGTAATGGACAACACATAAAGCCAGAGTGGCAGACTCGATACAATCCTCAATGAGGATAAATCTTTATTTTTATTTTTTCCTTTACTTTGAGGGATGAACTCAGAAAACAATCATTTTTTTCTCTTCCCTCTCTTTCCCTGCTTTACACAGCAAGTGTCCTCATCAAAATAAACTTGAAAACAATTCAGCGGGACTGCTTATTAATGAGGTGTGAAATCTCCCACGTCACTAAGACTTAATGTCACAGTAACACAAACCAACTGGCTGCTTTTTTCATTGTTCTAGTAGAGAATCCTGCCTAATCTGAGCTGCAGGAAAAAGCAGCAGGGTGTGTGGTATGTAACTTCTGTGACTTGTGGGTATCGCCGTGTCCAAACACAGATCATCTGTCTGTCCTTTACTGGAGTGTGCAGCATGACTGAAGTGCATTTCTACCACAGAAACCTGAACTAAACTGGGAGTTTTTAATGCAGAGGCTGTTTATTTTCTCCTCATGGGCTTACAGAGGGACTGATGTTGACTTTGGCTACTGGGAGGTGGTCCTAATGCTTCCTCTAAGCCATCCTCTCCTATCCCCAGTAACCAACTACACTGACTGGCTCGTCATTTTTACCTCTTATCAACTTAAACCTGACTAAAAAACCCAATCACATTTAAAACTTGAAATCTGCAGAAGAAGAAAAGAAAATGACTTGATGGAATATATTTAGAGCGAGAGAGAAAAAAAGCAGAAGTGATCCGAAAGCCTTTTCTACTTAATGTGGAAACTCATTTCAGGACCTTTCTGTAAATGTGTAATGATGATAAACTTTTCTGTTGTATTTTTCAGAAACTACAAATTTCTGATGTAATTGCAGTGTCTCCTTTTCCAAGCGAACCGTTGTCCAGATGCAGAGAGGTGCTTTAGAGATAATCCATTGATTAGTTTTATTTGTATTTTGTACATATGTTTTTGCTTTCTTTATTTAAGAAATGATTGCTTCTTTTGCATCGGAAACTGGAGAGAGGAGGTAACGGAACATTACAAAATAAAGGAGTTAAGTTGAACGGTTCCTGGTTTTGCTTTTGTACGAACCACATAAAGGTGATTAGGGTTGTACTTACCTGAGTAATTGAATAGAGGTTTAAAAAGGCACCAGATAAGTGTTTATGAAATCCCTGGTATCAAGTTGACCGTGAAAGGGGAAAAGAGTTGGAAAAACTGATGATGAAAAACAGTTTTGTAAAAATCTTTACTAGATAGTTAAGATGGCTTAAGCAGCTCAAGTTTCAAAGTGCTCAAAGGTCACTTTTAGATTTTCTTTTGTAGTTTATTTAAATTGAAGGGAGAATGCATAAATGCCCCCAGTTTTTCAAAATGTCCATACAGGTTGGCATTAAAACCAGATGTTGCACAAATAAAGCAGAAAAGTATTTCATGTACATGCACAGTCACAATTTAGATTTTATTTTTTTCTGAGTTTTTGTTTTTTCATAAGTGGATAAAAGTTCAGTGTATTAAATGTAAAAGGAGCCTCAAGGGCATCAAAGGCCAAAGAGAAACTAAAAAATCTTCAACTCAGGAAAATGTTGACTCTTTACGATAAAGCTCGGATGCAAATGGGAGAGTTAAAGGGACACTAGTTTTAGCTTGCTTTTAGCACCCCTTAGTGTTCATGTAGTAAAACCAAAAGTACAACTTAAAGTAACTGTGTATTTTTCATGGCGATAAGGGGCAGTAGATACCTAAATTATTGCTAGCTAGCAGTATTTTTGTGTTGGACCTTACCAACGGGTGCCCATTAGGGTCAAAAAGCCCTGGGGACTGCAAATGTTAGCAAAATAACAAGCACATCAGACTCCCTTTCATCACTGGCAACAAGTGAAGAAGTAAATGTGTAAAGCAACATTTAAAAATGACAAAAGTTTTGTGACTGACTGTTACAAATCATTAAGTGTGTGTTGTCCTCAAGGGCTCCCATATAAGGAAACATGGCATCTAATATGGCAATGCTCAGAGACTTAGACCCATTAGACCTATTTTTTATGGTTATATGTTACGAAGCCACCAATATTTTTCAACAACTGGGCATCATTTCATTCATTTTCAACATTTTGATGGATAGTTCCAGAAATTAGTTGTAAAAACTACACATTGTCTCTTTAATGAGACATCAGGAACCGCCAAGGTGTGAACAATGTTCATGTTCTACCGAGGCGTGTGTTCTCCGTTTGTTAGTCGTTTAGCTAGCTGAGCAAGGATACACGGGAGGTGTCTTGTAGCCTAGCCTTGGTCAAAAAATTCCCAGAATACACTGCAGTTATTTCAAAGGGATGGCGGATCAGAAGTCAGCAGCTACTTCAGGGGCAAATGTCGAGTTTAAATGTAAATCAACTAATTTAAAATGTATTTTTTTAGGTCCAAAGACGTTTTCTATGGTTGGTTAGTTGCTTAGTAGTTGCAGCTTCAGTAGTGGGTAGTAACTCACTTATATATTTAATTTAACAAATATATACAAAAATTAAAATTAAAAGGCTCATTATGTATTTATATTGAAACTTATACATATAAAATATGACGTTATCTCCCGTGTCACATGACCGCCATGGAAGCTGCGGTCACGTCATGCAAGTCTGTTGCATGTGCTAAAACGACCCTTTACAAGGTTAATGAAATGTCACTCAGCCCCTATCGCCCTCTGTGGCCAGAATATTCCACTTGCATCTTCAGACTGGCGGTTGCTCTGTTGGACTTGGACTGATAGAGCTGACATACCCGTAGACACGAATGAAGGCTGGGAGAAATGTTAGCTGCTATTAAGGTGCTAAAAGGCTGAACGCACAGCGAGGAGATAAGTTTTGCTTTCGTTTCTACAAACGGACACCAGGGGATATTAAAAGCAAGCCAAGACTGCAGTTCCCCCTTAATCTAACAGCTGAAATGTCTCCCAGCCTTCATTAGTTTCCACAGGAGTGATTCATCACTAAATAAAACAAGTCAGCAATGTGTTAATGATCTAAAACATGCACATGCTGGCTCAAGAAAATCATTTAAAATAATGAATAAGTTGCATGGTATGCCTTTAAAAATGATTCGATTTTCTATTGTAGAAATCATCAAAAACCGCAAAAGGTCACATGACCCTTTGTGGCTTTAGATGCCTGCCTTCATTTGGGTTTCTAGTGAAAAAAATTGACAAGCAATAAGTTCCAATCCTGTTCTTTTAGGTGGTGGTGGTGGTGGTGTGTCTGTGTGTGTGTGTGTGTGTGTGTGGGGGGGGGGGGGGGGGGGGGGGGGGGGGGGGGGGTACTGAACCTAAACGACGGTCTCAGTGAAGAAGAAGAGGAGGGGTGAGAGGGTGGTGGTGGGGGGTGGATATGACACCGCCTCACGCTGATGACGCGTGCCATCGGGAGACGTTTGGACAGCCTTCAGCCTATATCTCACACATATGAGACATGAATCGGGTTGTCTGAGCTGAAGATGTAACCTTGTACGGTTCTGGAGTGGGGGAGATGTTTCCACAGATGTTTCACAGCTGGAGGACAAACCACCGCAGGATCATCTGTTGATCGGATTGGAGACAATTAAGCGCTTTACCATGATCCGCTGCGCTCCGACTTCCAGGTATGATGCCGAGAAAGAGCCTCTGTGACGGGGATCGTAGAGGAATCAGAGCCGTGTGTGGTAAGGGGGTGTTCATGCATGATGGTGTTTATCTAATGCAGGTATAGAGCTATTAGTATGCAGATTGGGACTTCAAAGGTTTCCAAGAGATCCGCTCCTCTTGTTTCCCCTCCCTTCCTCGTCATAATTGCAGGCTGCAGATTTGCTCTCATCGATGGCGGGATGATGTCTTATTCAACCGTGATCGAGTCGCTTCTGTTGCTTGAATGCACCATTTTCTAGAAAAAAATCTGAGAAGACAAGTCGCGTTTCTGCACTGCAGCTTGCTTCGATCCCTCTGAGCTGCAGACACACTGACTTCATCCTCCCACTTGTTGGTCGGAGCTATGGAGGTGCCAGACCAGACATCACCTCCTTTTTAAAACTGCTTCTGTTTATTCAAGAAGTCAAATAACGCGCGCGCGTGTGTGCGCGCGCCTCTGCAGGAAGAGCACAACATAATCCAATCAATTTAAATCCACACATGTGGTTTGTTTGGATTAATTAGCAGCATTTGTAATCAGATGCTACAGGGAGCTGGCAGAGAGAAAAGTGTGAAGTTTGACGTGCAGGACACTTCGCACTATCTATTTTCTGGGAAAGTATAATATAATATAATATAATATAATATAATATAATATAATATAATATAATATAATACCTTCATCGTCCATAAATTACATTCACAGGAGCAAAAAGGAGAGTAGTAAACGAGTAAAATTTACACATTTTAACAAATTTAAAAAAAGGATATATAAAATACAGTTTACAATGCAATAGTGAGTTGGTGCTGGTAGAACAATAATAGAAACTGCAGATTACAAAAGCAGCAGAGAAAAGTAATAGTCTGAACATATTATTATCTAATAAGGTGTTTTTTTTAAATTATTATAAAACAAATAAAATGCGTAATTGTGTCATTCTGGGTTGATTCTAGCAAAAATAAAAAAATGTAAGAATGCACATTGAAAAATTAGAATATTAATAAAGTTTAAATAAGTTTATTTCAACTCATATCATCATCATATTTAACAACAGCCCAGTGTGTAGCTGATATTATGCAGCCGTTGTGTAAAATAAGATAGCATCTCAAACATGATAATAAATCTGTTTTATTTTCACTTTGCATTTTGAAGGTGTGAATTCAGTTAAACAGCAGCAGAAAATTTGTGCTGGCTAATAGATCATTCTCATTGGCTGGACTCAATAAAAGATCTCTCTTTTCTGTATTTGGATCATGCTGCAAATTGCTCTCCATGTTTTATATTTCCTGATTTAAATTCTGCAGGAGCTGATGTGGATCTGTAGGGGTGATCCATTTCCTTGTGTTGTCTTGGTGCAGGGACACATCTAAATCATGCAGGACAGCGTGTCCCCATGGATCAGGGCTGGGGAAAAACTCACCCATCTGCAGGAGCTGAGATGTGTTCAGTTAAATCTCAGGATGGAACCTTTCAGAGCTCCACATGCTGAACATGTGTTTATCGGCCTGACCGATGTTTCTCAGGTGTTTTTCTTTATGCACTTTAAAGCCAAAGCCCTCCTTTGGGGAGCAGGGACGTCACCTGAGCTGGAGATGCTGTTTGCACCTCCGCCTGCTGGTTGGCACACATTTACTGTCATGCTTGATTTCAGTGTTAGCCTCTAACGACTGTCACAAGCTTTTTCTTTTTCTTCATTACTTTTTTGGTCTTTCTTAGCTGCTTTAGGAGCTAATCTGCTTAAGAATGTCTGTCAAGTCATGCATGTTTGCTCCTGTTTCCTGCTGGAGATAAGTCACCCCTTCCAGAAATAAAAGATGACACATTTCAAGGTGCCTTGTGCTGCAGATTGGGCCAACTCACCCAATCATCTGGGTCACGTTGGGCTTTTTTGAGTTCATTAGGTGGCCCTATCAGTTTCAATTAGCAGATTTGTGTTGAGTGGGCGTGGCTGGAGCCGCTAACCCGTGGCTGGTCACTCGCCATATGTTTGCTATGTCAAACAGAGACTGTCACGACTGCCCTCTCCTCCCTCCACCCCGACCATTCGAAACGGGTTCGCCGGCTTACTGTGGCTTTAGCAGCATCTGTGCTGTAAATTTAGGGCATTGCTGTCTGCTTGTCTGCTCCGGTGGTTTAAAACAACAGACTCGAGCTGTGGCGCTCTCTGAGAGCATCTCTGCAACTTTGCAATGAGGTTCAGAACCAGGAGCAGGGACAGAATGGAGAGGCAAAGAGAGAAAGAGGTGGGCAAAGTTTGATTTTGAAATATGGAAACCAAAATGTTGCTTTCGCTTTGTCTTTTTGACTGTCTTTGTCCAAAAGCTAAACAATGGGACTGTGTTGTTTTCTAACGCGATGAAAAGACAAGTCTGCTGAAACGTGACGTGTGTTGCAGGTGAAATTCGAAGAGAGTGAAATGATTCCAAAGTCGGGCAAATCTCCAGCAGACTCCCGGAAAAGTGTTGGCATCCATGAATTTGCAGCACTCGCCAGGTCTTCTCTGAATGGTGAGGTGTTCTTTTGCTGAAGAGTTTTCGTTTTTTACCCAGAGCCGACTCTGACCTCCATCTCTATGTGACGCAGGTATCTCTCAGGCGGTGAGAGACCATGTGACCAAGCCCACCTCCCTGGCTCAGGGCCGGGTGGCCCATCTCATTGAGTGGAAAGGGTGGCCCAAGCCCACAGGTCCTCCACCAGGGACTCACTCCCAGTTCAGCTCTTACAGCCATCTGACTGAAGGGGAGAAGGAGGCTCGGTTTGCTGCAGGTGAAGTAGTTTAAATGCTTTAACAGAGAATGAAAAGTCACATGTACTCATGTACTCATGTGGTCATGTGCATCCTCTTAACACGGTTTAACCACAGCATCATTTCGTGAGCGCTCCCACCTTCTGTCATGCATCTAATCCCGTCAAAGTCCTCTGTGTGAGCAGTGAGCCCCGCCCACTGCAGGAACGCTCAGGCGACGGTTTGTCTTGGCAGCAGATGGTGGCCCATTAGACACACTTTCAGAACACTTCGCTGCCCACCGACGGTACAGCAGCTCTGTTGTTTTGCTGTGACTCATCCTCTCTGGCGCCGGTGACATCGCTCTGGTTTGATGAGGAGATAATGTGAGGGGGAGGAAAGTGGAGAGCAGGCAAAGTGAGGCGTGCATCATGTTCATTACGAAGCCCTTTTGTCCTGATAGACTAATCAACACAGCAAAATGCCAAATGTTGTTCCAGTGGGAGCATTTAGAAGTGAAACAGGAATTCCCAAGGCAGTTTTATTGTAACTCGTGATTCGTTTTCAGCCACTTTCAAAGCAATCAAATCCATTTTAAAATTAACTTCAGATTTTTCTTTTTTGGCAAAATAATTTGAGGATGAAACATCATTTTCTAAAATAGTATTACAATCTTTAAAACTGGAACCGCTTTGTAACTGATCCCAATTCGTGTTAGCTTAATTAAAACCAATCCAAGTTTCTCCAAACTGAGCCTGTTCAAACCTCTAACAGGTGATCATAAAATAGTATTAGATTAAGTTGGCCAGTGTGAGTTGTTTTTCCTCTAATCCAGAAGCAGGAGCATTCATCTGTCAGCTGATGCTAGCACCTGTCAGGTTCATGGGAAAACCCCATCCGTAATCTTCCTGCCTTCCTACTAGGAGTGGCTGAGCAGTTTGCCATCGCTGAGGCCAAACTGAGAGCCTGGGCATCTCTGGATGATGAGGATGAGGAGGAAGACTCCAATGATGAAGAATCTCACAGCAGTGGACAAACTCACAGCACAGGTATCCATCATCATCATCACCAAATTCCATCCCATGATCTTTCTCCGGCATCTCCACTCATTATCGTCTCATCCTCTCCCCATCCATCCATCTTCAGGTGTTCTGATTCTTTGCTCCTCCCTTAGACGCCGCCACGTCCGAACAAACCGGCGGAGCTCCATGCCAACCAGAGAGCCGAGGCGTTGATGTTCCGCCCTCGGTTTGTCCTGAAGGCTCCGGCAGCAGCAGTCCGCTCTGCGATCGGCCTCTAACTGATAGTGACCTACATTCATCCACCTCACCCACATCGCGGAGCGACTGCATGTGTCCATTCTTGGAGGAAGAGGAGGAAGAAGAGGAGGAGAGGCTGAACGGTCTCGAGGAGCAGCTCGGTCCTTTGCAAGAGCAGCACAGTGAGGTCTGCATCCACAACAAGCCAGAGTGGAGGTCTCGAGGCAGAAGCAGCAGGTTCGACTCCTGCTACTCCACCTCTCACTCCGAGTCTCCCGGAGAGGAGGATGAGGAAGATGAGGAGGAGGAAGGGAGTGTGTTTCATGAGCTTCGGGTTTGGCACTGGAGCCCCAGGAGCTTCTTCTCAGAACGTGGGTCATCTGGTGTGGCATCGTTTGAGGAGGAGGAGAGAGAAGAGGTGGAAGAAGAGAAGAAAGAGGAGAAGGAGTATCTCATGTGATGTCTTGTTCTTCTTTGTCTCCTTGAGTCTGTAGATTCTGATGTGAATATTCCTCACATTGTAGACCTCTCTCCTCCTCCTCCTCATCGCTCCTCCACTGGAAGCCGTTCGTCCTCCTGGCCTTTCACTGATCCGCTGCTTCTCTCAGCTGTAAACAGTTTAAATGTTGGAGGGTTCAACGAGAATGTAAAGTTGTTGTTCAAACAGAGTTTTGTACATTTTTGTGCAGTCGTGTGTTGCTATTGGGTTATTTTTATATGAAGTGCTGTTTTTTTTTCTTATTTTGGGTCATGCTGTGTCATGTGGGTTTGATATTGAAAGGCTGAATGTTCTGTGCATAAATAAATAAATATAATTTTTTTGAAATGGGAATAATTTCTATTTATTTTCTTCTACAAACAACCTGAAGATGGAGAAAAAAACACATTATTGATGTAGGTTTTTTTAATCATTCATGTACAAAACAATTCCATGTTCACTGAAAAATAACAATGGCTGAGTTCAAATGCATAACTCTCCCATGTATGTGAGTCATCTGTGTATGTTCATATGTACAAAGCATATACAACGCTGCCATAGAAAGGGAAAATACGAGATTTATTGCTTAACTAGATACGCTGCAAATTAGCTTATATGCTTTCTGTATTGAAATCCTTTTTTTTTAATGGCAAGCACTACTGCACATTCTATATGAAAACAAAAGGTAAAACATTTGATGCACAAATGTTTGCATGGAGGGAAAACAAGCCTGGTTTTGTTGGTGTGAAGAAATTCAAAGAAAAAATGTTGGATGATTTTAAAATACACCCATTTTAAGTTCATAGCAAGCACACACACACACACACACACACACACACACACACACACACACACACACACACACACACACACACACACACACACACACACACACACACACACACACACACACACACACACAGTTTCTGGGGCTTTTTATGGTAGTTTCATTTCCAGACACTGCAGTTAATACTCAGACATAAAGATGTGTTAAATATCTCCAGGCTGCATATGGCTCAGTGTGTGTGTGTGTGTGTGTGTGTGTGTGCTCTGTACAACAACCAGCATTTCCCTGGAGCCCAGATGTTGCTCCTTTATCATGCATCTTAAACTCACATATGTTCAGATAATGAGACTTGACTATCTACATTGCAGCCAAATAACCCTACCTGTGCATTCAGTAAAACATGGTAATTACAATGTGCTTTGCTGCCACTTGGAGCCCTGTAGCGAGCTCTGGGGACCTTTGGAAGCTGCCTTTATTATCATGTAAATAAATCCCAGATAAAAGATTTTAGGGTCTCATATGGGAATCAACATTTGGTATAAAAATAAAAATACTGTGGGGACAAATGTTTGAAATTTTCATTAATGCAGTCAGCAATGTGCCTTTACTGCTATAATACAACTTTATTGCATATAAGCCAACATAAAAACCAACAACACTTGGAAGAAACCAAATTTATTAAAAAACTCAATGCATTTGTGCCAAACTAGTAAATAGGTAGTTTTAAGCATTGGTTTTGTGCTTTTTAAAATATTTTGTTATTGTTATTCTGTGCTTTCTAGATTATTTGCACCACCCTCCTTACACATCATATTTTTGGGATCAAGCTCACAGATTCTTTGTTTTGGCAAATTAAACAAAACTGAAATTCAGACTAAGTTATGAAAAAGAAAGTGTTTCTTGAACCAGTGCAGGCGTCTAGAGACACACAAACAAATACTTCAAAGATAAAGCTGGTGATGTTCTATCTTATCATCAACACATCTCATTTTAGAATGGAACTAACCAGTACTGTTGCACATTTTGGATCCTGTACACTTTATATTTTTGTCATAAAGACTTTATAAATGTAGCTATTTACTTCACAAACCACTCTTGTATGATCATTTTATTAAATCCAACACTATGGATATGTGGTAATCCCTTCTAGTTTTAGTTCACAGAACATGTGACCTTTGGTCAGTAAGATGAGAGACAGCTTAAAGAAGTGTAACTGTGTCAGCGTTTCATCTATCTGTAATTAAATGTGTAGTCTTTTATAAAAAGCAACAAAGTGCATTCCAGTTTCAAATACAGGATGATGCATTAGTTTGAAGTGACATTCCCTGTCGATGGGGGGGGGGGGGGGGGGGGGGCAGCACATACCTAAAACATTGCAAGTAAGCTGTATTTTTGTGCTCGAGTAAGACCTTACCAATGGATGGCCATTAGGGTCAAAAATCCCTGGGACCGCAATTTTCAAACAAGTAATTCATCAGATCATTCAACCTCCGGCAAAATTACAAGTACACCAGACTCCCTTTCATCACTGGCAGGGAGTGAAGAGGTATATGTGTAAAACAATGTTTATAAATGCCAAAAGTTTAGTAACCGCTTGTTACAAATCAATAAATGCGTTTTGTCCTCATGGGCTCCTGTAGAAGGAAACATTGCATCTAATATGGCATCGTCCAGAAACTTAGACCCACTCCCATATATTTTAGACCCAATTTTTATGGTTATACGTTACAAAGTCGCTAATATTTTTCAACAACTGGGCATTGTTTTATTCATTTTCAACATTACGATGGATATTTCCAGAGACTAATGGTAAAAACTACACATTGTCTTTTTAAGGGATGGTAGTGTTACCCTAATGTTTATGTTAGCTTGCTAGCATGCAATATTCAGACACTGGATAAATAATAGCAAAAACACTGCCTTCTATACAAGTATTTGAGTCCAGTGTCTTCTTAATCGAGCAGAATGACTGTCGGTATATTTAAAATGAAATATAATGACACTGTGGAACAGGATGGACACCAAAAAAGACTTTTTGTAGGTTGTTTTAGTCTAGAGCTTCATGTAAATGGTTTGCTCACATATACAAGCTTGGACCCTGTAGCTAAGTGCTCAAGTAATGCTGCTCTGGACCGGATGATATTTTTTCAGGAAAAAAAAGTGGGATGGTACAAACAAGCCTTTAAAATGAGATTAAGCGGTTCATTTTCAAGCGTTGTGTCAAAGAAGGCCATTACTTTGATCAGTGCCGATGATTTGAGCATCAACCACCTAAAACCATTCCCGAGCTACTGTACTTGCTAATGTAACCTGAAGAATCAGATGAGCCGTTTCACAGAACCTGTGGGGAATCCATCTAGTCATAAGCAAACATCAACCAATCAGGTGAACCGTTAAGTCAATGGGGGCAGCCATTGTTGATTGTCATCTAACTTGAAACCTGCCAACAGGGTCCTGAGAGGTTTGTACTTTTGAGTTTTGTCAGCATGGATTTTAGATTTAGAAATCTAATGGAATTCACAACCTTTAATAAACATTATATAGGGTTCAAACTGAAATGGATCTTGTGGGAAGCCTGTTCTACTTCATGGTCATTTCCCTAGTTTAAGGCCTATAACTAAACATTTCTAAAATGTGTCTTAATCAATAAATTATCAGTTTTATACTCCCATCTCAACTTCATATTTAAAAATTCACCTATGAACTTGTTATGTGTGGGCAAAAATGGCCTCCATGGAATTTAAAGGTGCATCGTGTAAGACTGAAGTAAGAATATCATCCTGTCGTCAAATTGGGTACTGCAGTCCATTTTCAAAACAAACACGTCTTTTTCGTCCTGTTCCATGAGTTTCATGGCTGTTGCTAGTTACGGCTCACCAACCAGAAGATTCTAGATTATAAGCCAAGATGAGTCATACACAGCAAGCTGATACGTGGGTAAATACATTTCACTGTAATATTGAGACATTTTTAGAGCTGACTACTTGTTGCTAATTTACAGTTAGCATTGTTAGCTCAATGTTAGGCTTTAGCTTGCTTCACCTGATATTAGAGTAAAACAATAAGATGCTTCTTAGGGGTATAAAAAATTTCTGGGTCACCCCTGTTTACTGGCCAACATACTGTCCACCACTCTGGTGCTTCTGGAGCAAATTGCAACCCTGCATCGTTAGCTTGGCGCAGACTCAGCAACCAGATGGTTCACAGGTTGTAATCAAAGACCGTGTCCCTCTTTGCCCATTTTGAAAGGAGAAAAACTGGCAACTCCTCAGCCAGCTGAAAATCTATTTCAATGTAGCCTTCCTTCTAACATGATTGAGACATTGGAGTGTTGCGTGATTATTTCACTGGAGAATTCTTGCATGAACCTTTAAAATATATGGAATGAGACAACAACACCATAAACAAACTTTTGTGTTTAAAAAAACTGGAAAACTTGGACAATTTTAGTTTTGGTCTCCTACAGAGATCTGTTCTCTGTGATAAAGATACAAAATAAACCAGCTTTATCCCTTTCTCATGTGCTTAAACTATCATCACAAGTATGGTGGAACACAAATGGACATCCACGTTGGACCACTACAAATGTGAGAAACATCAAACATTACGAGGTGAGCTCTTATCATTCGGATTGATCGTCATTGTGGACAGTGGAGCACTCTCCCACAGGTTCTGATTGGTCCTTGTTTACAGATGAACTTTCCTGCGGTGGTTCTGTTTCGTTTGGCTCCAACGTGGGGGGGTCTTGGTCACATGTCAGCTCCGACTCCTCTGTGCGAGAGGGGCTGCAGTCAAAAGTAAACTCCGACTGGTCCTCAGTGAAAGAGGGGCTTTCCTGGAGCACCAGGTCCGACAGGTTTGTGACTTCCCCACGGCTGTTTTCAAAATGCAAATTTGTTTTGTCCGAGTAACTGATTGGCACGTCTTTGTAGGAAAGGCCCGGCTTCTTCTCCACATCTGGAGGGTTGGGTTCCCGAGGTAAGGACAACCCTTTGTGGCGCATGCACAGCTTGTGTAGTTCTGTTACCTCAGACACATTTGTACTGTTCCCACTGTCACGGAAACTAGCCAGAGGGGGGCGTACTTTCACGCCGGTCACCGTCACCGAGCCCTCGATGGCCTTCCGTAGCTGTAAATACAGACAGACAGCCGGGAAAGAGAGCAGAAAGCACAAGCCAATAGAATAAAAAGGTCATTGAAATAAAGCTACAAGGTGACAATTTTATTAAAAATCAATGAATCCTGTGCAGACCTCTTTGAGAGAGACCACTCCAACCAGTCGTCCCATGCTGGTCACGTAGGCGTGATCGAGGCCCAGCAAGGAGAAGATGGTGTGAGTCTGGATGAGGAGGAGAGTTGGGTCATGGCCATGTAAACCGTCACACTGGGACGATCCTTTTAGTATTTTTGGCTTTCAAAATGATCATCAACACGATGGCCCAATCACCGCACATGTGAGATACATAAATATTCAGCATTTATCATGGATTGACTTTTGAACAGAATGACCCTTTTGAGAAGTCGTAGTGGACAGAGGAGATGGAAAGAACATCACTAAAGGTGTCCTCATTAGTTTTCCTCCATGACAAACAAATGTGGTGATAATCAGAAAATCTGTGACGTCACTAGTGAAATTTCAAAAGAGGACCAGAGAAAAATTTGGGGTGGTGCACCAAATGGTCCCTGTGGTAACTCTGGGTGAATTTAGCATGTAGCTGTGCATTGCATTGTTTCTTCATTCTATTTTCATTAGCCGTTTTTACAAAACAATGCTGTGGCGTTATCAGGTCGCTTATAAGTGGTCAGACCGTGGCGGTAATGTGGCGCGATCGTGTCCTTTTTTATAAAAGATTAGGCGATGGCGGCATAAACAAGGTGTGGGGTGGTCTCTGCACTGCAGCGGACTTCCGTTTTTCTTGGACATAACTTGCTTTTTGTTGCAAATGAAGCCGCAATCGTTAAGTTTTTTTAACAAGCCGCTTCTAAAGGTGACTGTCCCCATCAATCCCTGTGCAGTCTCTGGTGATCTGATCTCCAGCTCTAACGGAGAGATGCTCATGGAGTTCTGCGGCGCTGCAGTTTGCCCGTCTCAGCTGAATTTGTTCAAAAAGCCAAACGTACTGCCCGTGTTTACTCATTTTCAATTTAGTTGTCGGCTGGAGCTCAGCATTTACTCCCCACGTCATCATGACACCTTCTTCTGTTGCGCCATGGCGCAATAGCCATTTATAAGACAGAATATCACTGCAATATTACAACCAAGCGAGGCGAAACGAATGCAGGAAAAGTCACGCAACGCCATGCCGGCATGGCGCGTTTATAAGACACACCGTTGTGATAATCTTACGCTGATTTGCCGGCATGGTGTGTCTTGTAAAAAGGGCTATTAAAAACTAATAGGATTTATAGTTTATTTTTTTAATGGTCATATTAGTATTGTGATTTATTTAAGAAATTATTAAATAATGCATTTAACCAAATATATTTATTAGCTTTAACATTTGTGTTGATTAAAGAAGATGCATGTATGGTTTTTGTAAACATGAACATTATTCTCTAAGGGGCAGTGAACTGGCCAACCATTTTCATGGAGTGGCCATGCCCCCCCGCCCCCCACCCCCCCCGGCCACCCCTTGGGGGCACCACTGCAGAAGTGGTTGCATTTAGGTTTCTTCAGGGCTACTTTACACAGTATTTTCGGTTTTCTCGTTAGGCCATTATTTGTATCTCATTGGGTGTTGTTGGCTTTTAGGCTATTTCGTACCTTATGCAGAGATGTTTGCTCCACCAGCTGGAAAGGAGCAGGATCAATTTTACAGTTCTTGAAATCCACCAGCTCATCGAGCTTCTGATCCTCCCACTCAGCTACCTGAAGACAAATTGGTGACAGAAAGTTTGAAATATGAAAAAAAAAGCTTTTGATATGTGGTTTGAGTCTCACCTCAGAGGGGGACATGCAGTCCTCCACTTCGTTTGAGTCCTGAAAATAGAAAAACTCAGTCTGTGTTCATGTGAGCTCTAATTCTGCATTAGATGGTTGTTTTTGTCAGTTTAACAGTTAAACTGCAGAGCTGATATCTAATATAACACCTCAGGTTTATCAGAGTTTTAGATGGAAAACTGATGCATGTAGTGGATCATCAAACAGTGCAGCTAAAAGAAAAGTTTACAGACAGCAGAAGGAAATATAAACAAGTGCACATTCACAGAAAAAAGCCGCTTTACAGACGATGATTACATTAAAAACTGAAACATGTTCACCTTTCATACACGCACACGCTCTCTCTGCAAAGCCACTCTGACGCATCGGTTGGTGTACCTCAAATATTTTGGTCCATCACTTACTATGTGCATGTTGCAAGGCAACTGTTACTAAGCAACGGTCTCTAGGCGGCAGACAGTCTTACCGCCATGGAGATCCTCACTCGTTTGGGCTTTCTGTTTTCAGGAGAAGCCGGCCCAGCCGGACTCTTCCCGCCGGCGGGAGAGAAGGCATCACAGCACATGATTAACACAGATTCACACAAACTGGAAAGTTTCTTTTCTCTTTTAGTGACATCACGGCAACAATTAGAAGAGGACTCTGGGATGTGAGCGCAGTTTTACTGAAAGGGCGTAATTACCACCCTACGGATGAAAATGAGACACCCAGCGTTACAGATACACCACCAGGATTTAAGCTCTGAAGATCCCACATTTTACAGTTCTTCTTTGCTGTTTTTGAGTTTGTTTAATTAAAAATGAAAAAAAAAACATGTTTAGATTTTTTAAAGCAACAGATGACCTTTTTTAGAAACCTGTAAAACGTAAAACCAACTCTTAATAAAAACTAAATGTATTCAGCAGTTCGGCACTAAAAAATCAGCCCAACACGCTTTAGAAAAGGATTCCAGGTAAAGACAATAAATCAAATATTATTAATAAAGTTATTAAAATATTTCATTTCAGAAAAATCCTAATCTTTCATCGGTTTGGGGATTTAAAAGATGTTTGTTCAAAAACTTTGATGAGATTATTTTGTCGATCAAAATGCGAGAACACATTAAAATAAGTTCTTCAGCCTATAAGTATATTTTCTCAAACTGCTTTGGTGTATTTCTAACAGAGGTGGAAAGAGAACTAAAATGTCCTACTTAAGCACGAGTACCATTACTTTGATCATTCTTTACTCAAGTAAAAGTAAAAAGTATCGTAAGTAAAATGTACTCAAAGTGACTCAGTTACTTTTTGTCACACACACTGCAGCATGTTAGAATCATTTGAATGACTAATTTAACAGCGTTCTCTGGCCAACGTCCTGGGTTTTTCTCAAGGTCCTGGGTCCACCTGGGGCCTCCTGCTTGCAGGACATACAGTCAGGTCCATAAATATTGGGACATCGACACAATGCTAACATTTTTGGCTCTATACACCACCACAATGGATATCAAATGAAACGAACAAGATGTGCTTTAACTGCAGACTGTCAGCTTTTTATTTCAGGGTATTAACGTCCAAATCAGGTGAACGGTGTAGGAATTACCACCATTTGCATATGTGTCTCCCACTTGTTAAGGGACCAAAAGTAATGGGACAATTGGCTTCTCAGCTGTTCCATGGCCAGGTGTCTGTTATTCCCTCATTATCCCAATTACAATGAGCAGATAAAAGGTCCAGGTCCATTTCAAGTGTGCTATTTGCATTTGGAATCTGTTGCTGTCAACTGTCAAGATGAGATCCAAAGAGCTGTCACTATCAGTGAAGCAAGCCATCATTAGGCTGAAAAAACAAAAGAAACCTATCAGAGAGATAGCAAAAACATTAGGCGTGGCCAAAACAAGTTTGGAACATTCCCAAAAAGAAGGAACACACCGGTGAGCTCAGCAACACCAAAAGACCCGGAAGACCACGGAAAACAACTGTGGTTGATGACCGAAGAATCCTTTCCCTGGTGAAGAAAACACCCTTCACAACAGTTGGCCAGATCAAGAACGCTCTCCAGGAGGTAGGTATATCTGTGTCAAAGTCAACAATCAAGAGAAGACTCCACCAGTGTGAATACAGAGGGTTCACCACAAGATGTAAACCGTTGGTGAGCCCCAAAAACAGGAAGGCCAAATTAGAGTTTGCCAAACAACATCAAAAAAAGCCTTCACAGTTCTGGAACAACATCCTACGGACAAATGAGACCAAGATCAACTTGTATCAGAGTGATGGGAAGAGAAGTGTATGGAGACGGAAAGGAACTGCTCATGATCCTAAGCATACCACCTCATCAGTGAAGCATGGTGCTGGAAGTGTCATTGCGTGGGCATGTATGGCTGCCAGTGGAACTGGTTCTCTTGTATTTATTGATGATGTGACTGCTGACAAAAGCAGCACGATGAATTCTGAAGTGTTTCGGGCAATATTATCTGCTCATATTCAGCCAAATGTCTCAGAACTCATTGGACGGTGCTTCACAGTGCAGATGGACAATGACCCAAAGCATACTGCAAAAGCAACCAAAGAGTTTTTGAAGGGGAAGAATTGGACTGTTTTGCAATGGCCAAGTCAATCACCTGACCTGAATCCGATTGAGCATTCATTTCACTTGCTGAAGACAAAACTGAAGGGAAAATGCCCCAGGAACAAGCAGGAACTGAAGACTGTTGCAGTAGAAGCCTGGCAGAGCATCACCAGGGATGAAACCCAACGTCTGGTGACATCTATGTGTTCCAGACTTCAGGCTGTAACTGACTGCAAAGGGTTTGCAACAAAGTATTGAAATGTATGAGTTTGATTTATGGTTCTTATTCTATCCCATTACTTTTGGGCCCTTAACAAGTGGGAGGCACATATGCAAACTGTTGTAATTCCTACACCGTTCACCTGATTTGGATGTAAATACCCTCAAATAAAAGCTGACAGTCTGCAGTTAAAGCACATCTTGTTCGTTTCATTTGATATCCATTGTGATGGTGTATAGAGCCAAAAATGTTAGCATTGTGTCGATGTCCCAATATTTATGGACCTGACTGTACCTTAAACACCTCCACTGGGAGTGGTCCAGAAGGAATCAGAACCAAATGCCAGAACCACCTAGGCTCTTCTCAATGTGGAGGAGTAGCGGCTCTACTCCAAGTCTCTCCTGAATGCGTGCATCTCTCTCAGGTGATGCTGATGTGAATATTTGATGTAGATGGACAGAAAAGCATCTGTATGTGCATGAATGATTTACAGAACTGTGTGACTTGTAAGTTTGAGTTCAGTTCCAATAGGTCCTGCAGGTCCTGTTTACAGCGGTGCACAGCTTCTAAATAGGTTTGTACTTAGCTTTTAGAAATGAATAGTACAGACTTTATTGATCCCACATTGTGAAAATTCACTTGTTTTGTACAATGATGTGAACAAACTAGAATTGCAAAGTGCATTTGCAGTAAAAAAAAATGAAATAAACATGCTTTTGAGGGATGGGCGCTTCCTCCTGCAGGTTCTTAACCAGTTTTTGCACTTTTTACAGTTTAAAGAAGCACCAAAGTGACCAAGAAAACTTGTAAATAACACGAGTGAAACCACTTCTGATAACTTCTGTGTTTCTAAACAACAGCCCTTGTTACCATGAAACCACATTATTCACACCAATGGCCCGGTAATGTTTGTCTTGAACAACATTATTCTGCAAAAATAATTAAAAGTTTGTCACTCATTTGCAAGATAGCATCTGGCTTTCCATTCATCCCAGAATAGGAATCTTCAGATGTTAAAGCCACACATTTCACCTAACTTACCGAGTTTAGTGGAGAATCAACAGTTTAATGATGTAGAAAAAGACTTTTTGATTTGAAGCAAAAAGGTGATACTGAGGCGTGCTAGAAAACAATTATATAAGACTAATAGTACAAAAGATAAAAGAAAAAAGCTGAGATTTGGACCAAATAGCCACATTTGCAATAATTTGAGTTAAATGATTATTTGAGGAGTTTTGACTACTTTTTTGCACACTTTAACAAAACTGTTAAGGATTAAGCTCCTTTTTCATATAAATTTAAACTTTGATTTTATGAACTAACAGTCAGACGGTACTGCAGAGACACATTTCTATGCTTCAGGACGCTGGGGCAATAAAGTTGATTCTAATTTTGATGTAGTTTCTAAAAATTCAGCCAAAATGTGAAACCACTGATCCCTGCTTTTTTTTTTAAGTTTCAAAAGCTCTGCAGGATTCAGTACTGGCTTGTTGCCTCAAAACAACAGCCTTTCTCACACTGTCTACAATATAAAGTTCTTTATAAAAAGCAGTAAAGTGAAGGATGCTGACGGACTGGCAGTGAACTGTGCAGCCAGGGCAGAATCACTGACAGAAGAAAAATTTCTGACAACGGATGACACAGAAAAGCTCGGCTGCCTCTGGATGAGTCCTGCCCAGCTGTGGCAGGAGGGAAAAGCAAGCGCAGACTCAGAGAGAAAGCACACACACACACACACACACACACACACACACACACACACACACACACACACACACACACACACACACACACACACACACACACACACACACACACACACACACACACACGCACGCACGCACACACACACACAAATAAAGTAATCTTTCTCACCTCCAGCAGCTCCTCATCCTGATCAGCACAGGAGAGTGTCTGCGAGCCTGAAGAGAGAATGCAAACATATTCACGTCTTCTCTGACTTGATTCTTCACGAAAGCTCTAATACTGCATCAGATACGTACTGTTTGGCGTCTCTATGTTGCTGATGGCCGACACGGTTTTCAAGGCAGATTTCAGAGGCAGCTGAGCGTTGGAAACCACAGGGCTGAAGGAGGAAGACTCCTCTGTAGAGATCTATGTGGAAAATATATTAAGAGAAGACGCCAACACAAATGCATGCACACGGACACACACACAAAAAAACAAGCACATGCATGCAAACAAACAGTGCAGCACAGGTAAGGGCACAGACAACAGAGACAGAAAAACAAGTGGGAGTTAATGCAAAAGTACAGAAGGTGTATAAAGTTTATACAAACACTTACCCAGTCCAATATTTCTATCTGTGCCTTTACCTACTGCTATATGCTGCCCTCATGCTGCTTCTGATCCACTCTGCTGCTACAACCCATCTCAAGCCAGACCCCGCCCCCGGCGCCCCCGGACGCCTCACACCTGTTGGGTGCTCACCAGGAAGCGAACCTCTTGGCGAGCGCTGGTGTTGGTGGATGCATTGAGGTGAATGTGGGTGCAAGGAGAGCTGGGGGAGCTGTCTGACGTCAGGCTGGGCAGAGGATCGTGGGTGCCGGTCTCCTGGGCCAGCTGGTGGAGGTACTCGAGCCTCCGCTGACGGCTCAGCTGAAGGGAGAGAAGGGACTGGAGCTGCAGGCGCTCGATGGAGCCCAGCAGGATCATGGAGTCTGAGGGAGAACAGTCAGGAACATTTAGTCTGCCACAGTTATTTTGTGGGCTGAAAACTGAAAATCTAAATAAACTTTGAACTAAACTCTCAGAAACAACATTAAAAATGTAGATGTTTGCTCAAAGCTTGAGTTTATATTTTGGTTTTCTCTAACTCACACAAGAAGCGTTTCAGTGTTTTTGTTCCCAAAGCAAAAGAGGAAGAGAGAAAGAAATCCCACAGGGCTAGTAACTGTTGGCATCAACTGGTCTATCGACTGTGTCGAGATAATTAATATTATTATTCTCTCAAATCAGGGAGGATGAGGAGGGGCTGGAGGGGCAGAGCAGTACTGCTTCATCTTTTAACTGGAACTGACGATGAGGAGGAATTTTCGTCCTCCTTATACGTCTCATTGGTCCTGATATAAAGTAGTTCTGAGGTGAATCTGTCAGAAAAAAATTCATTTCGGCTCCTTCTTTAAAAAACAATATAGGATAGACTTTAACTCAAACTGCAACAAATGAAAAATAAACAAAAATAATAATATCCAAATAAAATAAGCATTAAATCACATTAAGAATAACGCGGAGGCAGACACGAGGTATTTTTACTTATCAAAACAAGGTACTAACTTTTGTTATAGTTAATTGAAAAGTCTAATCAGATTGTTTATTTTAATCTCTTGAGGATCAGAAGAGTAGATGAGATGAAGAACCAGGAGATGTTTAAAAAGAGCAGCCAAACCAGTTTGTATGATGTTTTTGGGTCCAAACCTTTAAAGACATGGGCCAAAATATTCAAGTTTAGAGTCCTTGCAGGCTACATAAAAGCAAACATTATGTTAGGGTGAGTTTTTACTATTTAGAATATGTCAAAAAAAGGCACATTAATTAGCCTAGAAATCTAGACAGAACATAGCAGAAGCAAAGGTCGATCGAGTCACACTCCACTGCAGCCTCAGCAGGTCTACCATTAGCCTAGGGCTGGGTGATATGGACAAAAACTTATATCTCAATATATTTTTGATGAATTCTGATACACAATATATATCTCAATATTTTTCCATCCATCCATTTTCATCCACTTATCCGGAGTCGAGAAGCGGGGGCAGTAGCCTAAGTTGAGAGGCCAAGACTTTCCTCTCCCCAGCAACTTGGGCTAGCTCCTCCGGGGGACTCCCAAGGCGTTCCCTGGCCAGGTGAGAGACATAGTCCCTCCAGCGTGTCCTGGGTCTACCTTTAGGCCGCCTCCCGGTTGGACGTGCCTTGAAAACCTCACCAGGGAGGTGTCCAGGAGGCATCCTGACCAGATGCCTGAGCCACCTCAACTGGCTCCTCTTGATGTGGAGGAGCAGCGAATCTACTCCGAGCCCCTCCCGGATGACCGAGCTTCCCACCCTATCTCTAAGGGAGAGCCCAGCCACTCTGCAGAGAAAACTCATTTTGGCCGCTTGTATCTGCGATCTCGTTCTTTCGGTCACTACCCAAAGCTCATGACCATAGGTGAGGGTAGGAACGTAAATCGACCGGTAAATCGAGAGCTTCGCCTTCTGACTCAGCTCTCCCTTCACCACGACAGACCGGTACAACGCCCGCATCACTGCAGATGCAGCACCAATCCACCTATGGATCTCATGCTCCAGTTTTCCCTCACTAGTGAACAAGACCCTGAGATACTTAAACCCCTCCACTTGGGGCAGGACCTCATCCCTGACCCGGAGAAGGCATTCTACCCTATTCCGAATCAAGACCATGGTCTCAGATTTAGAGGAGCTGATTCTCATCCCAGCTGCTTCACACTCGGCTGCGAACCGCTCCAGTGAAAGCTGAAGATTACGTTCTGATGAAGCCAACAGGACCACATCATCTGCAAAAAGCAGAGACCTGATCCTCAGGCCACCAAAACAATATTTTTCCTCCTGTATATTACTTACAAGTTATAATATTTATAAGTTAACTCACTTCAAGCTGTCTTGAGAAATTATATACATAAATCAGTAAATTAAATGCATAAAAATGTACTGATTATTGTCAAAATTTAACCTCAGTGCCTATTCTCTACCAGTCTGAGCTTTAGAAACACTGGTGCAGCTGTCTGTTAACACACACACACACACACACACACACACACACACACACACACACACACACACACACACACACACACACACACACACACACACACACACACACACACACACACACACAGTTGAGAGCTGCTAGAAGTAAATCAAATGTCCCACTTGCACATTTTAATTATATATAAATAATGTACAATTATTTGAATTTCATCTAGATAGGCCATATCATATATGTCACTAGCATTGCAGTTTGACCAGTTATATCGATATGAAGATATAAAGTAATCTTGTGTCATGTTTAAAATGATATCGATATTTTAAAAATATAGATAAATCGCCCAGCCCTACATTGGCCTGATCAGCTTTGTGTCATACCAATCACAATGCTCTATCAGTTTGGTGGTGTAACGTCCAGGAATGGTCAGTTTTCACCTACGTATTGACCTACATGCCACCGGTCATCTGCAGACATAAATTCCATTCTCTAAGGTGGATTTTACATTCTATCTTCCAACAAGCCCAGAAGATTCTGCAGCTTTGAACACATGATAACATATTGTCAACAAATTATTCCCGTTCCCAAGGTCTAAGTTTCCCTTATCGCTCCAGGATTCCTCATGCCTCTGAATAAAGTGAACATTTTCAGCTCATATGAGTTAATTAATCATGAAATGAAATATATGGTTAAATGAAATGTTTTGATTTAATCTGTGCCTAAGTTAATAAGGTTGAAATGAATTTTAACATTACAATGAAACATTTTGATGTTATAATCAGTAATGTTTGGTTTAACAAGTGAATCATTATCTACACTCATACACAGTGTTCATAAGATAAAGTTAAAGTAATTTCTGCACATAGATATTTTCTTACCCACAAATCAGAGCATCCTGTAACTGAAAGAAGGCGTGATGTTCTGAGGTTTGTTTGTTAACACCCCTTAACATGGCATGTCCCGAGATTGGCCAAGTAACCCCAAAATTCCACTATCTCCGCTCCGCTCCGGCACGAACTCTGCAGCAAAAATGGTCCCGTTGTAGTCAATCAGAGCTGTTCCACTACTGCGGCCGTGCGGCGCCCTCCGTTCCGCCATCCGGCAAAAATAGGATCGATTCTATTTTTGCCGGACGCCGGAGCACCTCCGCAGTCAATGGACAGAAATCACAACCGCCCAACAGGAAAGGGAGCAAGCACAACTTCCATTATTTCACAATAAATCGATAAACAAAAAGCGTTTTTTGTTTCATATGCACAGGTTTAACAACTTTTAACAACTATCAATGGCGGTTGAACTTTAAATGCACAAAAATAAGTAAGTAAGTAAGTAAGTAAAGTTTATTTTTATAGTGCCTTTCACAGATATAAATCACATAAGCCATGAATACAGTTTCTACTATCAAAGTAGTCACACTTTATTGATCCAAACACTGCTGATCTCTCAACACAACTGATGGGCAGATTAAAGAGTTCATTTAGATGCTTCTCCGGGTGTTTGGATCTAACTTCCGCATTTATTGCTCGGACTGTATCGCAAGATCTCGAAAATCCCGTGCATGCTTGTTTGCGCACCTCAGGTCTCCGCACCGGAGTGGAGCCGTTGTAGAGAGGGTATAGTATAATTTGAGTTCGGAAGCGAGCGGCAGCGGAAAGCGGAGGCGGAGCGGAGATAGTGGAATTTGGGGGTTAATCGTAATATGAGAATATTAAAACAGGATCACTTGCGGAGTGATTCAAGCATTCTGTGAGATTCAGCATTCTGTTAGTTTGAGCAGAACTCCGGCCTGGCCACCGGAGGAAACTCTATAACCACCGCATCTCTTGACAAGCTTTCGACAAGCTAAAAGCTGCCTACAGCTGACACAGCAAAACAGTTCCTTCACCTTTTCAGAAACAGCTGCTCCAGACGCAAACTGGTTCCAACCTGTGTGCTTGGCGACATCTCTGGACTGGAGTGTCGGTGCTGCGGTTAATCTACTGAACCTCGGTGCCCTGAGGTCACCTGACATTCCTGACCTCCGGATCCGCGAAGAGGGTTTTCAAAGAAAGGGTGAGGTAGACACACGTGATTGCGTCTGATGCCATTTTGATGAGAACCAACTTCGTAGTTTAATGCAAACCAAATTCTTTTCACACCCAGAATCTTCTAGATACAAGGTTCTGATAAACACACAGCATTCAATCACCATACATCACATCCCATCCACTTAGACCCATCCATCACAGTTGTCTTAGTTAACTTGTCATGTTTTTAATTGTTTAGAAAATAAATTCTTACTTTTTGTAGACTTGACTGTCTGAATTGATACGAAATGTGTTTGATCACTGAAAAAGCAAAGAATCCTAGAATCTTCTGATTAAACATTCAAAGACCAATGAGGTTGAGAGCCTATATTTATATAGAATATTACAGCTTATTGGTCATAAGTAAAGGTAACATATTCAGCTTAAAAGCAACAATATGTAACCCTACAGTGGGCGGGATGTTGCTGCAACTGCCCCACGACTGAGTTCTGTCTATAGGTCATGGCCATACTATATATTCCCACATATATGATGACTTATAGGCTAAATATTAGTGATAATCTGAAAGAAAAAATGTATCTTCATGAACAGCCTCCTGGAGAGACAAAATCGGGGGCCGCACAAACTTTGGACACAATTGTTTTAGCTCATTTTTTTCACACTTGAATGTTTTGAAAAGCTCTTTCATATCTTTTTTTTTAATGTGCAGTAAACGAGATGCTCCAGTAAAGTGCATTTCATCTCTAAGCAAAACAACTTAGCGGTACTTTTTGAAACATTTACATATAAGCCAACAGTTCTTGATAGAAACATACCTCTACATTCCACCAGGGCAAGTGTTTTCAGGTGACCGGTCAGCAGCATCTCCTGCAGGTCCCGGTATGAAGAATTCAGGGTGATGTAGCGCACATCCCTGACCATGATGTCCTCCACACGGATATTATATTTCCTGAATCAGGAATGAGAAGCGTGAGCAGAGGGACATGAGAAGACAAAATAAGGACAAAAGAGATCAGACTAACTCATGATGTCCCATTCCCAGCTCTGGCAGATAAGGAAGCTTCTTTATGCGAATGATGGAGTCGTATAGCGACGGCTGGAGCGCCTGCGCCACGGCGTTGGCCAGGATCACCGCTATCATCACGGGCAAGATGTGTGAGATCTGGCCTGTCAACTCAAACACAATGACCGCTGTGGACACAGTGTGGGTGACTGCTCCAGACAGGGCTGCAGCACCTGTGGAACAGAAACGAGAACATCTTTAAAATGTATCTGATCAGTTTCTATGTAAAATATGCTGGTGAAGGTTCTCATTCATCCAGGTCATGGTAATCTCAAGGGTTCAAATGAAGGCAGCTGGACATCTTCGGCTTCTTGAAGACGTTGCGCTTCCCACCCATGGAGCTTTGTTACTTCTGACTGGAAAGTGGGAGGGACTAGTTTATAAACTGTGGCCGTCTGTTAAAGTGGCAGTGTGTAGTTTCCTGGCACTAGTGGGCAGTAAATACAATCCATGGTAGTTTTACACCACATCGCCGTAACTGTTGCTAGTTTAAAATAAATTATGGTAAATGTTGTTGCCCGTGGAGCAGAAAGCATGAAACCTTAGCGTGACTCCTCAGACTTTGAAGGTCCTTCCGTTCATTCCATCGGGAGAATGCAATGTCGATTGAAGTTTTCTGGCAATGTAGTTTCCGGAACTGCTTGGGGTCCTGCGCCTGCTGATGATGTCATCACATTATGGTAATACCGCTTGGCCAAAATACATTACAACTCTTCTTCGATTCTGTTCTTTCATGTAGGTTTTGGAAATAGTTTAGCAGTTTTGTTATTAAATTTGAGTTTTTTACTGCCTAATGATTTCTGAACGTGGTAACGCAACTTCATTAAGTCGTATGTCCAGCTAGTCATCTAGTGTGACTTCATCGACACGCGCAGGACCAGAACAGCCAAAAAGAAACATGGCATCCAATACGGCGTCCCCAAAGACGCTAGTCCCACGCCCTATGCACTTTAGACCAAATTTTTATATTTATGGTCCAAAGGTGCCAATAATTTCAACAACTGGACATAATTTTATTCATTTTCAACAATGTTTTAATGGACATTTCCAGAGATTAACAGTAAAAACTTCACATTGTCACTTTATGAGGTGAACCTACTTATGAATTCCCCTCCTCCCTACCCCCCGAGGAGTCATTAATGTAGGGGAGAAAGAAAGGCTGGAGCAAACTGGTCCTGAGTGCTTTCACCCTCCCACTGTCTTCATGAGTGACCCCGCCAGGAAAGTTGAACATTGAGCAGGACTGATGGTTTATCCCTTCAGGTCCACGTGGCAGGGGTGAGGTGGTGCTCACTCCTCACCCCTGCCACATGGAACTCAAGGGATAAACCATCAGTCCTGCTCAATGGTCAACTTTCCTGGCGGGGTCACTCATGAAGACAGTGGGAGGGTTAATAGGTGCCAACAAACAGAACTAACGTTTCGACAGGTTATGTCTTCTTCAGAGTGACGCCTGAAGAAGACATAACCTGTCGAAACGTTAGTTCTGTTTGCACCTATTAAAGTACTCAGGACCAGTTTGCTCCAGCCATTCTTTCTCCTCTACATTTGATGTCTCATGGGCTGTCGGAGCACCTGATGTCCCTCTGGATGATGTGCTCTTCAGTTACTGCGTCATTAATGTCATTAGGTTCTGTTGTGTTAGAATGGTTGTTTTGATTAGATGCAGGAGGGTGGGACCTAGACTGAAACAGTTTTGGAACTGGTTTAGAGCTGCTAGAAAGGTGAACCTGAGACTTCCTCCTCTTTTCTAGTCAGAATTGACAAAGCTCCTCAGATGAGAACCAAAATATCTTCAAGAAACATAAGATGCCCAGTTGCTTCTTTTGAAGCCTTCAGTTTTGCGTGTAAAATAGTTGATTTTTATAGGTCTGGTTTTTGTAACAAGTCTTAAAACTGGAAGCTTGCAGCTAATTTAGTCATGAAAGAAACAGAAATAAAATGACTCAAGCAGATAAAAAAAAGGTGTTACAAATGTAAAAAAGATATAGCTGCTGGGTGTTTAAAAATCACTCACCTACAACAGCATAGCCACCTGGAACTATGGGATACACGCTGCCATCCGCATGGATGCCATCAGGAAACATGGCTGCCATGATTTCTCCAACTAGTCTGCCAAATGCTGCACCTGTCAGTCACACACAGACACAGCAGGAGGTTAACCAGATCGATGGAAACCACCAGGGTGCGTGGTGCCATTTCCTCACCGATGAGAAACACGGGCATGAAGGCGCCGCATGGAACAGGCATGGTGGTGGCCACGGCCGACATCCAGAACTAGAACAAGTGAGGCAGAAAAATTTAGAAATGAAACAAAACTGGTGATCTAAATGAATTAGTTCACGTAAAAGTTCACCTTCATAATGATGAAGAGGATGAGTGTGATGAAGACGTTGACCTGCGGGTGTTTCCAGGCATGGTGGTGGCTGATGTAGTCGAACTCCTCCGCCACCCCCTGACGACACCACGTACGATTGTCGAACAACGCGACCAGAGACTCGTGCTGCGTCAGCTGACAACACAACAGACAAGCAAGAAAAACAGCTGATTTAAGACTGTTTAAACTCAGGCAGCCATCTTTAATCAGCCTAAACCCAATTAAGACCAATGTAGTTTATTATTTATGTGATGCAGAATATTTACTAAGTCAGCACATTAAAAATGTTATAATACTGAACAATTTACTTCTGCACCTTGTTGTCCAGGTTGTTAAACCCCCTTTCAGTGACCCCCCTACCTTTTATAAAAGTGACTCAAGCTGGTGTCATCACTCCACAGTTAAGAGGGTCTAAATTTCCATAAAAATGTCTGAAAATGATCCATCACATGGTGAAATATGACAGCTATTAACAGTTGATCAAATACAACGAGCTGAGCCTGTCACTAGCCCTCACCATCAATCGCCAGGACAAGATTTCACACCATCACACTGGTTTTCTCACCTGTCCTGCCATGAACTGCCCGAAGCCAGGAGGAAACGTGAGCGTGGAGACCAGCAGGGTGACGAGAGCCGGGTACAGCAGCCGCCTGACAGGAAGAGATGGACTGTGGGGTCATTAGTGAGGCTGTTTGTCCAACGGTTTCTACACTCTGTAATAAAAACTCCTCCTCGTGATGCGCCAGCGTGATTCACATGGAACAACATTAACACTGACAGGAGGTGGGAAGGGGCTCCTGGGTTAATGAACAGATGCAAAACACACAAAAACACCACACACAGAGGGATATATATATATATATGTATATATATATATATATATATATATATATATATATATATATATATACGTATACGGTATATATATATATATATATATATATATATATATATATATATATGTATACACACACACACACACATATACATATATGTATGTGTGTATATATATATATATAAATATATATATATATATACCGTATACGTATATATATATATATATATATGTGTATATATTTACGTGTATGTATATATATATATATATATGTATATCTATATATGTATATAAACGTATATAAACGTATATATATATATATATATATATATATATATATATATATATATATATATATATATATATATATACATATATATATACATGTATGTATGTATGTATGTATATATGTGTGTGTGTGTGTGTGTGTGTGTGTGTGTGTGTGTGTGTGTAAAATTTAGAATCAGATCAGATCCTCACTTTCTTAGCAAGAACTTGTTGATGGTTTTCTGTTTCCTCATGCACTCCACAATCAGCCGGTTCAGGTAAACAAACAGAGCTCCACCGAAACCACAAGCAATCCTGCAAACAGGCACAAGTTTAGTGTTTTAATGCCATCAAAGTGAAAACCTTCACCAAACACAGCCAGGTTCAAGTCAATCACAGATGCTTTCAAACAGGAGGCCAAACAGCAATTATTCATTAAAGTATTTGAGCTTCAAACACACACTGATCTCGATCCAACCTGTCCTTTCATGGCACAATTAACAAATGCAAACCAGCCTTCAGATTTCCGTTAACGTCTCATAAAAAGCAAATGCCGTTTAACATGGTACTGCTTTAGAGAAGCACACTCACCCGAGGATGGCGAACGCTGGCAGCTCCTGAAGGTCAAAGGGGAAATCCAGACGAAAACGGGTCTTAAAGAGAGCGGTGATTGTCTCTGAGGAAGAGAAGAGTGGTCTCACTCTGCTGGCCACACATAGCGATGTTATAGATAATTTAAATCAGATAAATGAATACAAGAACCAATGCTTTATGAATATCTGAACACATTATTAAGAAGAAGAAAAAGATCCGGTACAAACGAGAAACCACACAAACATGCTGCAGAATAATCTTTTATTGACATATTTTACCTTCCTCCTGGTTCCAAACAGCCAGCACCCTGAAGATAAAAGCACTGAAGGTGGCAGCAAAGAAGCCCCTCCAGTAGTTCCTCACTGCAAAAAAGGTGGACGTGACTTCAATACTGAAGAGCACGCCTGCAACACAAACACACACTCAGATACCTCCATACTGACACGGTACACCAAAAACATCAATCTAGCTGCATTTCTCCTAAAAGTGTCAATAAATAAATAAAATGTCAAAATTTCGTTGTTTATTTTTTAAATAAGATTTTGAAATGTCTTGTTTTTATAGCATTTATATTAAATCCCTACATAATGTGTTTGTCAAAAAGTGACTGTGTCATAGCTGAGATGTCAGCACGTGTTTGTCTGAAAGCTCTGAATGAATGAGACAAGGTGTCAGTCATATAAAACAAGCCCTGCGTGTATTTGTGTGTAATGGCATCCGTCACATTTGATTTTAAAAATGCCATTAATGAAAAAAAAAATGTTAAACTGAATAAATTCCAAATAATGTCCTGTTCAGATATTTTTTAAGTCATTACATGACTGAAAAATTATGCTTTTCCTTGTATGAAGCAGACTTAATCCTAAGTGTTTCACCGACTTGGTGGAGAAATAAACAAAACATCAAATTCAATGACACAAAGCATTATTTAACATTATCAGGTAAAATGATCAACAAGATGAAAACTTGGCCTCTTAATGACGTTAGAAGAAATGTCAACAAGTTATTGCTGCACACAGAAAAGGAAAATGGAGATGTGAACATTTCTATTTCCATAAGTGGGCGAGTCCATCTGCTGGTGAAGAGGAGGAGCAGCTGTTGAGTGATTCATCACCTTTAACTTTATCTGAGACTCTCCTGACTTTGATACTAGAGAAAAACGTCATGAATATATAAATACTTGTGATAATATGTCCTGAATGGGAGCCAAATCCACAACAAAACAGGTAAAAGTTAAAGGAACAAAAACATGGTGTAAAAATATTCATAACAAATATAAAAAATTAAAATTTTACTTTTTAATTCAGATCCTTTCACTTTGTAGTATTTGTGGTTGTTATTAATATTGTTATAATTACATTACATCTATTTTTTCAATATTAAATCATATGTATCTTATTTCTTTAAACATATTTTGTCTTCATAACATTTTATACCCCAAAACATCAGCCATTTTTAAAATATTTGAAGTTTTGTTTATCCAAACCATGAGGTGCAACATTAGAAACAAGTTTTACACATTTTAAACATTTAAACGGTTTAAGACCCCGACAGAAAATTATCAGATTGTGACCACAAATGTACAGCATGAGGGCAAGGTGTATGATTCTCACATAAACTACTGAATAAAGACTCAAAAAAGTTTTATTTATCTTATTTTTTTAGAAATAAAGAAATCTTAAAAGTAAAAAAAAAATCTACAATTATAGTAAAATCTATGTATACAGTATTATGTTATCTATGTAGATCAAATACAGTAAATTAAATGTACACTTCACAAATACAGCATATAGCATTTGATTTGACTACCGTAAATCCTCAAATACAGGCCAGGGCCTGTATTTGACTCAAGCTCATCAAGCTCCAGGCCTTTATTGGAAGGAGGACCAGAATTAGTGGCAGGCTTCAATTTCTATTTGAGCAAAATGAACTAATGGTTCGCTGGAGTTTTTGACAATTAAAATTGCGCCCACATTTTCAGAGTTAAACACATTTCTTTTAATAACGGTAGTTTCTGCTTCAGCCATCTCCCCCCTCCCCCTGCGCAGCGGCCGCAAACTCACTGATGCACCTGCAGCCTCTCGGAGTTCCTGCTGCTCTAAACATTAGAATAATTATTTCATTTTCTGTTCCTCACTTCTGATTACCTTCAATGGTGTCTGTTTGTTGCAACCACCAGGTACAAAAACGAACTTGTTTTTATTTGACTATTTTTCTGTCCTGCCTGTTTATTATCTTCCTGCATCTCCTCTCAATCCTAAAGAAAACTGCTACCTGGGTTCATATATATTCACCTTATGAGTTACCTTTGAACTGCAGTTCTACAAGATCTACCGACTGCAAAAACAGGGGAGTGCACGCCAGCCACTTCAGTTAGGTGCGTCACCGAGGACAAAACAGGTGATGTGCCCCGATCCACAGCAGCGAAACGCATCAGGCACAAATAAAAGAATAAAAGACAGAAAACATAAAAGGAAATGAGCCGACATGAACGATCGCGTGTTAAGTTAATTTTTGAGGTGGCGACACCTGATTTGATAATGTTACTGTGGCCGTGCTCAGGACGCAATGTCTGGAGCGCGTCAACAATCAGAGCTTTGCATGTACAAGCTGGTTAAGGTTAGGATGGGGGTGAGGGGAAGGTTAAATTGCAAGAGGGTAAACGTCACAATTAGGTTAAATGTCCGTTTTACGGCGGGTGTCAGTACCGACGCTCTGGCACAGCGCGTTGCCTCCCGACGCGCAGGAGCTTGTCACCTGCTGACAGCAGGCTGCTGTCTTTTCCGTGGACTGCATCTTGCCGGTCATAATCACGTGACAGCGACTAGTCGATGACAGGCATAACAAGTCACTATAGAGCGGTGAAGTTGACTAGTGACTAGTTCATACAACCCCTATTGCTCCCCAGAGTGCTCTGCAGCATAATCAGCACATTCTCTTTGAACTTGATATCAAATTTTCGCCTCCTCACGGTTAAAGTTACCCTCGCGGTCCATCACTGGCAAATCAAAAGTGAGACGGATGACACAACCCCCCCCCCCCCCCGTACTTGCACATTCCACCCGGCCTCAATAAAAAACCGGCCATTATTCACCTCCGCCACTCCTCCACCGGCCAAAGTATGATACCCGGCAGTTAATTAAATACAGGCTAATATTAGAGGATTTACGGTATTTTGCTGTGGCCCCCAGAGTGGGGGGGCCACATATGTTCTGTCGTTTTTATAATCGCCAATACGGACCCCAGAGTGGGGGCCACAGCAACAAATGATCTGTCTTTACAAACAAGTACTTCTGATAATTGAAAGGGTTCAAATGAAGGCAAGTGGACTTCTTTGGTTTCTTAAAGACATTGCCCTTCTCATATGAGGAGCTTTGTTAATTCTGACTGGAATATGGGAGAGTCAAACTTATAAACACTAACTGCCGTGACTTAATGAGCCGAAACTACTTATGAATACCCCTCCTCCTTATCCCCTGGTGAGTTATTAGTTTGTGACCTAAACTGAAATTGTTTTGGAATTAGGTTTTGAACTGCAGGTCCTGGAAAGGTGAAACCTGAGGCCTCCTCCTCTATTTAATGTAGGTTTTTCCCATTTGATGGCTTCCATTACTCCTCTCTAACCCCTTCTTTCCACCGGAGCTGTCAGCATGTTACTGCAGCAGCACGTCTTGCTCGCGTAAGCTGCTGCTTGGCCGTTCCCACGAGACGCGAAGCAGCAGGGGAGCAGCTGTCACCGACAGAGCACAAAGTCACACGAGTGACTTCGTTAGTAAACACAACAACAAGCAGGAGAAAACTACAACATGGCTCCAAAATGTTTGAGTTTTATGTTCTGTCCTTTTTATAATCGCCAATACGGACCTGAAAAACAAAGGAGACCGCTAGCTAGGTGATAACTTCTTACGGGGCCGAAACAGTTAGTAACTTTTTTAAAAGTAAAGCAACCGGAAGGCAGTACGTTCCTTTATTCTGAAAATCTCGGGAGCTTCGCTCCGTTTCTGCATCAGATTTCCTGTCTTTCCTTCCCCAAAAATGTCGAACTTGACCCGTTTCAGAGGTGTAGCGCGTAGAAAATAGAACCGGCGCGTAAAGGCCGCGACATGCTGCTCCTGAGACGCGGCCGACTCACGCTGCTGACGGCTGCTGACGGTTCTGGTGGAAAGAAGGGGTGACCATCTATCTTCTCTGTCCAGAAGGTGAAAGGTAAATTAGGATGACAAATGAACTAAAATTAGCATTTTCTACTAAAGGAGTAAATGTGATGTAATTTAAAGCCTTACCTCCAATAGGAGCAGCAAAGCAGCAGCCAACACCCACCGCACACGCAGCCGACAGCATTTCCGTGTTCCTCAGCTCGTTCTGGTCAATGAGAGTCACATATATACCCAAACAAAAACACACAGTTCTGTGCACTCATTGGAAATATGCACAAACATCCCACAAGATGAATGAATACAAGCAAACACCAACCAAAAAACACACAGCTCTCAAAAGAAAAATGCAAATGCAGCAGCATTTACATTAATCTGCAACTCATGTTTTGGTATTTTCATGAGTCACCGCACATAGGAGGTCAAAATGAAAACTAGTGATTGAGGTTTGAAATTGTGGAACGAGATGTTTGTCTTAAAACAGAGGTGACAGATCGAGGCATGGCTGCCACGGCTCACTGAACAGAACCAGACACGGTGCAGACAAGCAGACATCAATCTGTCTCAGCCTCTGAAATGGACAGCATGGATTATTAATGCTGATGGGAACAGCAGCGAGGAAACCATCCTACATACCTTGCTTCCTTCAAAGGGCTCTTCCTTTAGCGGTAAAAGTGCACAAACAGAAATGTGTGAGAGGCGGTAGCTTGTGCTTGTCCAGCAAATCAAACAAGCCGAATGAGCTTCAGCAAACAGTCTCGACTCCCCAGAGGACCGAATCAACTTTTGTTTGTCTGGTGATGTTTAACGTCCACGGAGGTGACCCCTCGGGTTATTTGAGTATTGAGTTTCTTTTTTTGGGACATCACAGCAGTTGTTCTATCTAGTTGTGGTTGTTGGAGCAGCGAGGAGAAACATAACACAGCATCCATTGCAGAAACAAAACTGGGGCCCTGCAGAAGGTTTCATGTGAGGTGAGAGTTTGTCATGTGTCCTGGGGAGTGGCAGAAAGTCAAAGAAGCATCAAACACAGGCTGTAAAACCAGATTTTATTCTCTTAACCTAAATGTTATCAATCAGGTCAACTTTCAAAAGACCAACTTTATTTACAAAAGATGTTTGAATCAGTTTCTCACTTTAATTCTGTCTATTTAATTACCTTGATTCCAGATAAGTATAAAAAAATTAAAGCAATTAGATTCACTCAAAGTTTGATTGATGCACTAAACTCAACTACATTAAAACCACACTGTTAAATTACAAACCTAATTAAAAATCAAATAAAAAATTAAATGAAACAAAATAGTAAAATGTGAGAATTAAAAACTTAGTGATGTTCTACCTCTGCAAATGTTTTGGACATTTATTACTTAATAATTACTCTTTAAAAGTAAAACCAAGTTCTATATCTAATCTTTTTTATTTACTGATAATTTTATTTTATTTGTACTTCAGTAAAAAAATATTCCAGTGTCAACGAAAGAAGAAAAAATACGAAGCAATTTTTTTTATAAAGGACCTCTCAAGATAAAAATCACAAGGCTTCACAAGAACAAAAATAAAAAGATTATTATTAAAATATATGTATATTTATATAAAAAATGTTAAAATATCATAATAAAAATTGTAGCTAATGGATAATGAAAAAAATTTAAAAAAGCACTTTTACTTTACGTTCTTATATCTGTTCTGCCCTTTCTGTCTGTCTGATTTTGTCCTGTCCGGGATCCATTTTCACTCGCTCTAGGTGAGAGAAAATGCAATTTCATCCTGTTGAATGTGTGAATATGAGCTGAAGACAAATTTGAATTTGAGTAGAATATTTCACTCCTCTTCGCTTTTTGGCAAAGTCCCAAACCTGCCAAAACCTGCCTGCTCTCATTTTTTGAGTTTGAAAATCTAACATAGGAGAGCAAATAGAGCAACACAAACCTAGCCTGAACCTTTTTAAGCTGTTATTTACTTTTTTAACCAATTAATCAGATGTTTTTCCCCAACATTTGCAGTCATGTCAACAGCACAGCATTTCTTACCAAACCAATTATTCTACATATTTAAAAAACAATATTCTAAAGAGTCTTATAGGAGCATGCAGTTTGATCTAATATCTGAAAATCAACCACAATATTAAAGTATTTTGTCTTAAATCAGAATATTTTTTATTTAATTTACATTTCAGATAAAACAATGATAAACAAATTCTCTAAATTTTGCTTTGCACACTAGTTCCTAATCCCTCCCCGTCTTACCATGTAAATGCCACCAAAAAGAGCAGCCATGAATTTGCTCAGCAAGGCAGCGCACAGACTGGCAACATGAACGAAGGGTCCCTGTGAGGAAGGATGAAGACGGACGTCAAGAAACACGATAAAAGCTCTCAGATTGTAAAAACAACTCATTTGAATGATTAAACTCTCATCAAAGACGTGTACAAACTACAGCTATTAGCATCAAAACATGTCATTGTCAGTTACTTTATTGTGAGTTACTGCATGTGTTGATATTAGAGGTCAGAGGTGCACATGCTAAGTTAGCCAATTTGAGATAACAAACAAAACTTTGATTAGGGGGAAATTCTTGGTAATATGAAACTTAATGGTGGGGTAGGAGATGTTTTTTTCTGGAACATTTTTTTAATTTATTCTTTGCCACATTACTTGAAATTCTCTTCACATATAGATTGCAACCAGTAAACTAAAAGTAAAAAAAAGAGAAAAAATAAAAGATTTGTAAACATCTCTGAAACACACAATTCTGGAAAACCCCCATCCACTCATAGTAAATGGCCCGTTCCTAATGATTAGATCCATCAAACTCCCCTCTGACCGTCCCTCAGTCCTCTGTGTGTACCTCTCTTTGTGCACAAATAGTGCATTCTCAGCTTGGAATGGAACAGCTGAACTGGAAGCGAAGCCAGAGCCAGGCTAGCAATCTTTTGTGGGATCAGGGATCTTTTGTGACAGAGATGTTTATTTTTCTCGCACTGTATTACAGGATTGCATGGCAAGAAACAACATATTTTGCCTATACATCAACTGTCCTCTTTAAAAGGACCTTGAAAAATGAAAGAGATGCTCTGAAGAAAGCCTGGATTCCAGCAGCGGCTGATAGCTTGTGAGGCTCATTTTGTTCATGGTAGTCCATGTGACTAAGTATTAGAAAAATCCACGGAGGTATATTGTTTTCGCATTTTGATTCAGGTGTGCCAAATCGTGATAAATTACGGCTTTGCAGTCGCAGTGAGCAGTGAAGATGTTGCCGTTCTCTTTGGCAGTCACCCACGGGTGATGCAAACCAGTAGTGGTTTTAGGCACGGGCAGACAGGGCAGTTGCCCGGGGCGGCATTTTTTCATGACACAAAAGGGACGCACAAGCGCTGAGTAAAAAATAAAAAAGAAAGAAATCTGCGTCGCACCGAGGTTTTCTATTATCTGTCATATCACAGTGTCTGGATTGGAAAGAGCAAGTTGGCGCCCCCTACAGCTGCAGGCGCTCCAGGTGCACCGTGTGTGTATGTAGAACAGGAAGGGGAGGGGTGCGGCGGGGGAATTCACCTCTGGGTCTTTCCCAAATGAAATGAGCGGGTAGGGGCTGAATCAATTGTATTAACATGGCTAAAGTCAATCACATCTTGATGTTCTTCCATTTAACGCACATTTCATTCATAATATCATAAACATAGGCCTATCATTCTTTCAGGTTTTTCTGAATTGTGTGAAATGGCCGAATAAAAAAAGGAAAAACAAAACGATTTTGTGGTCACCCCCCCATCAAGGTCAAATTGTTTAGTCCTGACTAAAGGAAACTTATTGAGTCAAGAGCCAAACAGAAGAGATGAACATAAAAAGGCTAAAACCACCAGGTGCCCGGTTCAGGGAAAAAAACTGAAAAAAAGAGGAGAAAGAGAAAGGTATGTACGCTCTTGTGATGCATGTTTTCAGTTTTTTGAACCAGTTAACTGGGATTTTAACGGTTAAATTCGGTCAGCTAGTTGCTAACAGAGCTAATAGGGCTGAAATATTGAAACAAATATTCAAATGGCTCGAAAAAATTCCTTGAATCGTTTTTTAATGATTCAAACTAGGATTTGTTAAATGCTCGCTGCAGCCTGTGGCCTGCCTGAACAACAACAAACACATGTTGATCATGTTCACATAATAACAAATAAAACAACTCTACAAGCAGAAGAAAACTCCCCAGTCACCACTAACTATCCTGTTTATTTATTGCAGATGGCTGCACTGATTATTTTTTACATGATTTGTTCTGTAAAAGTTGGCATTTTTGGTAGTCTACAGTTTTTTATGTCAGTTTAAATTACAATTTCAGAGGCAATTCTAAAATATTATGGATCATGATAAAGATCTATTGGAGATCTACCCCCACTTTTGGACTGCTCTGCCAGTCACTGTGGCTCAAGCTGAGAGGAGCTTTTCAAAACTTGATCAAGTCATACCTGAGGTGAACTATGTTTCAGGGGCGGCTCACCAACCTGGCTCTGATTAGTATCAATCACTCAATAGGGGAGCAGATTTCATATGATGACATTATTGATGTTGTTGCATCAAGGTTAGGTTTTAATTTTAGTTTGTGTTTTCTGTTCTAAGTGCAATGCTGTAGTGATTATCTTTAGTTTGTTATGTGTGAACTATTTTTGCTATTTAGAATATTTATTATATATTATGTTCATATATTCTTAATATTTAGTTATTGTTTGTTTTTGTATATTTGATTCTATATATTTTGATACAGTATATAATGTATATTGCTTTACATTCTGACAAATTCATAGTAATTAATGTAAATATGTGCAACTTAGAAAAATGAATGTTCAATAGTCGTTCTAATAAAACATGCCTGTTTGTAGAAAACATGCATGTGTTCATGCAGGTGGGGTGGTGGTGGTGGTGGTGGTGGTGGTGGGGGGGGGGGCCTCAAAGGGGGCCTCGCCCAGGGAGTAATTCCATGTAGAACCGCCACTGATGCAAACCATGCTGTGAAAAAAAAGCAGCTCTGACCTCTGCTTTTAGCACAACCGCGGCTTTTTGTTTCGCAGAAGAGATCGGCTCAGTTTTCCTTGAAAGAAAGTAATATTAGGTCTCCAGACTTTTGAAAGCTTTTAATTTCTCATGAGTGAATGTTCCAGGGCTTTCTATTAAACAAGAATAAATGTCACCCCAGCAGATTTATGGCCAAGACGCCGGCAAATTGGACCAACGTTTTGTCATCCCATATCTCATATGGACTTTAAATAACACTAATTTTGTCGTGAATACAGATTTTAGGCTTCTCTCTAAACTTTATCCTGTCTTCAGACATTAAAGAGTTTATATATTGGGGATTTCACCGTATATATGTCGATGGATTTCACCCACAAACTCTCTTGAAAGTGTTCACCACATCTTGACAGCAGGCTGTTGTCACTTAAACACTCGCGCATGAGCACAAAGATCTTTCTATATTAGCTATATTGTTAGACAGCTACTTAGCCTAAGCAGAAGTAGTGGAGGGGGTTTCTAGTGTAATAAGCCCATTCCCAGCTGGATCTCCACTCTAGGTCCCAGTAGCTTCTCTCTTAAACTTTCAGTGGGGACAGCGTCTGGAGAATTCCTGACCGGCATCCGACTATGAGGAATCTCCCAGAAGCTTGGAGGTTCCACGACTGTTATGTAGGTAAACTGTATTTGGAATAATTGCAGAAAAGGTGCCAACAACGGGTCGAAAGGTAGGATATTACACGTTTTTATGGTTGTTTGACAATATACATTCAATCTTCTTCTATAATGGAGGCGCAGTGGCATGCGTGTGGGTGAGGGTTGCTGAAGAAAGGAGGTTGGACCTTTGAACTGCATTTTTAGCATGGCTTTTGTCACAAATGCAAACAATAGTATTTTCAAGTCATGGATAATTGAGTGTCATCTCCATAGAAATCATGTGAGACACTATGACTTTGAAAGATCTGTTTGTTTGAATGTGCGCAAGTTAGAAACAGGAGTTTCCTACTGAACCCTGAGGTACATCTGAATCAACCCGTTTAGGATGTTAAGAATAACGGATATGGTTGTGTTGGAGGAGTATGAGTGTATTAAATTAAAGTCTTCAATTCAAGGTTGAAATGCTAAACTTCAGCTGTGTCCTCTGTCAGAACTCAACAGGAAGCCATTAGTCATTTTAACCATCTTTCACTCCTACCTCCTTCCCCAGAGGCATCCCACTGCCCAGAGCACAGGTCAGACCAATGACTTTAGCCACAAAGGTCTTGAAAGTCAAATATTCCTTCAGGACCACTCCCCTAAGTATCGTTTTCATCTCAGGAATACCTGAACCTGAGTTGAGACAAAAAAGGGAGAAAGAAAGACATTCCAGGGGTGATGGAGTGCAGAGAAAAGGTGTGTTGAAAGAAAGCTATTACACAAAATTGGATAAGATGAATAAATGAAGAGCAGGGGGAGGAAATGGGAGGGGGTTGATTGATATTCATGTAGCTTTATGCGTGCACATCTTTACGAACGTCCTGCAGAAGCCTGCAGCACATGTCCTTGTTGCTTGCTGTGTGAACTTCAGAGACAATTACATTACTCAAACACAGAAAACTGACCATGAATTAGTAAGAGGATAAAAACACAAGTTGATGCATTAATGCTGTGCACGTCTTACCCACAGCCTGAGGAGCCAGGATCTGCGTGAATCCTGCGGAGAAAGAGATGAGTACCACTGGATAGGTGACCCAGGCGATGTACTGCAGGAGCATGTTGCTGTCCAGTTCACCATACATCCATTTCTGTGCTGCACACACACACACACACACACACACACACACACACACACACACACACACACACACACACACACACACACACACACACACACACACACACACACACACACACACACACACACACACACACACACACACACACACACACACACACACACACACACACACACACAATTAATGACAGTTGTGTGTAAACCAGCAGACACTACATCACTGTAGCCATTACAGTCGTTTCTTTACTTTGTTTTCCTTCTCTTTGACTCTCAGTCTCTCTCTCAGCCTGAATCAAATTATGTTTCCACCTTTAGCAGCTTGGTGGCTCATTAATCATTTGGTTCTGTTAGCTGCAAATTTCAGAGAGGGAAAAAATAGCTACGAGAATTAAAACTAGATCAAAACTAAACCAAATCATTCATCTCCAGGCATAAATGACTAAAATAATTGTAAGAGTAGAAATTGTAGAAATCTTATTGAGTATTCAAATAAACCATACATTGGGTTTCATCAGTCTGTTATGCCTGTTCGCAATTATTTACTACAAAAAAGGCACAAGTTTTATCATTTACTCATACTTGAGCTCTGTATTACAAAGGAGAGCCTGCTTGCAGCAGAACGCCTAAAGACTTCATTCTGTTTATTGATTTTTGTTTGCTGAATAAAAACAAGTTGTGCAACCCAGTCCGTGTTCTGAGAAAAGTCCCGAAAAAAAAACTTTCTGAGATGTGAAGATAAGCTTCAGGATGACTAAGCAAAGCATCAAGGCAGACATTAAATTTATAAAAGGCCCCACTCCTGTCCCGAACTAGTGTTTTATTTTTCTGGACTGCAGCGCCACATTATGCAACCTTTTCATATTTTTAAATCATCTTTTGAGTCAGTAAAATGGCCCTTTACAGGGTGAATGAAAGGTCACTCAGACTCCCATTGCCCTCTGTAGCCAGAACATCGTGCTTGCAACTTCAGAGTGCCGGCCCAGTCCAGAGCTGATATGCCTGGCGCTGGAGTCTGCTTACAGCACATTTCCTGTTTGTTTTAGATTGTGATTTAGATGAACCACTCCTGTAGAAACTAATGAAGGCTAAGGAGACACTTCAGCAATTAGATGAAGATGTTAAGAAGACAAACGCAAAGCAAGGAGAAGAGTTTTGCTTTTGGTTTCACTAATGGACACTAGGGGGTGCTAAAAGCAAGCTATACCTGCTTAATTAAAGACAACTAAACTCAGCCTCTCACTATGAGGCCTGATTTATGTTCACTATGAGGCCTGACAGTCCCCCATTTCCATCTTCCTCCTGTTCAAGGCCTTCTTGTCTCATTCCTACCTTCTTGGCAGAAAGCGATGGCGTAGTCCATGACCCAGCTGACCAGAGCCATGAGCAGTCCCAGCAGAATGAGAAAGATCCAGTCTTCTCCAACACGTGAGATCAGGAACTTCTGGCAGCGAGATGCACACACTGAAGGTAAGACCAAAATATATAAAAAAAGATTTACCAAAATGTAGCGCTTTGAGTTAAATGACCTCCAACGAGGGATCTGACTGCAAATAGACGTTAATGTTAGCAGCAGGGTCACAAATAAAGGAAAAAAGACAAAAAAAGAAATAGGCTATGCTCATTGATTGAGGTGAAGTAAACATTTGATAATGAGATAAAGATACAGAAAGTAAGGGGATGAATAAAGAATATCACAAAATAAGAGGAAAAAGACATAAAACTACGGATAAACAGAGTTAACCACAAGAAACAGTCTGCACATGTGTATTTATATCAGATAGACGAGTAAAAAATGAGAAATAAAGGTTATTATTGGGATGCATCAACGCATCTAAAATCACTTGCTTTCATGTGAAGAATGTGATCAAACTAAGGTAGGTCATGGTTAGGATTATAATCCATCAATCTGAGCTGGGTCAGCTAAAAGAAGCGTCACTGGACTCATTTCTCCTGTCTTGTCTGTGGACGCGGCCAAAACCCGGAATTTATTTCAATATCCAGAGATTCCATAGATGTGTCCGTCCCGAGAGAAGATCACATGTGCCACTGACACATATACTGAGCCATCATTCCAAAGCTTAGCTTCAGCGGACATCATGTTACTTTCTTTTTCTTTTTTTTTACCCCTGTTTCTTTATTTAAATGTCCTAATTAAGCAGTTAATCAACTCTAGTCATAGTTGAAACGTAATATATAAAAAAGGAAAGAACATGAAGACAGAATGTCAAAACTGACAGTAAAATGCAGAAGATGTACAAAAAAATTCCTATTTACAATATGAGAATAATTAAAAATTAGGAAAATAAAAATAAACTTTAATATTAAGTACATGATTGTGTGTTTTGGCCAAAGTCAGGACGCACACCCACAATGAGGCGTCCTTCCAGTATTATGGCCCTCGTCTATGGAACAGACTGCCAGAGGCCGTCAGGGCCAAAGAGAATGTTCATGATTTTAAGAGCAGGCTTAATACTCACCTTCATAGCTTAGCTTTTAACTGACTATTATTTATGATTTACTTGCTTAGATTTTAAGACTGTTTTATTATGTATCTGTTTTTATATATTACTATTTTTTACAATTAGACTGATCACTATTTATCTATTTTTCTATTACGTCTTGTTATTTTATTCTTTTACTTATTTGAATATTTTACAGCATTTCCTCTGTGGGAGCCCTCTGTTTCAGGTCGGCGGCAGTGGCGGCCTCGGTGCTCTCCAGGTGGTGCTTGGGTGTAGGTGGAGTCCTTGCCCTCCCTCCTTGGTCTCCCTGTGTCGGTGTCCTGGATGCTGCCATGGATCTGCTACTGTTGGAACAGACGACTCCCCGATGGCGTTTCCTTATGTATCTGATTCATCTGAGCTCAGCCCAGTGTTTAATTAGGTTCTCAATTGTGGTGTGTGTGCATGTGGGTATGTGTGTGTGTATGTGCGTGTCACTGGGTTGGGGATAGGGGGGTTTTAATTGTCAATGACATTTGTAGAACATGTGGGTCTTTTTAATCTGTAAAGCACTTTGAGTTACATTTTCTGTATGAAAAGCGATTTATAAATAAAGTTTGATTTTGGCCAACAAACATCAATAAACAGTATCAATAATCACCACTGCATACTGATTAGGAATGTGGTATTCTTTTACAAAATAAAATGACACATTGCATGACTATTATGTAATTATGGGCTGTGCAAACATATAAATTGTATTTCAGTACAAATCTGGACTCCAATCCATCCCAAAAAGTATGTAACTGACAAAGGAAACAACTACATATTAAAAATATTTCTCTACTTCTTGCATCTACACTCATCTAAAAGATTATTAGGAACACCTGATCAACTTCTCAATGCAATTATCTAATCAACCAATCACATGGCAGTTGCTTCAATGCATTTAGGGGTGTGGTCCTGGTCAAGATAATCTCCTGAACTCCACACTGAATGTCAGAATGGGAAAGAAAGGTGATTAAAGCAATTTAGAGCGTGGCATGGTTGTTGGTGCCAGACGGGCCGGTCTGAGTATTTCACAGTCTGCTCAGTTACTGGGATTTTCACCCACAACCATTTCTAGGGTCTACAAAGGATGGTGTGAAAAGGGGAAAAACATCCAGTATGCGGCAGTCCTGTGAGCGAAAATGCCTTGTTGATGCTAGACGTCAGAGGAGAATGGGCCGACTGATTCCAGCTGATAGAAGAGAAACTTTGACTGAAATAACCACTCGTTACAACCGAGGAATGCAGCAAAGCATTTGTGAAGTCATAACACGCACAACCTTGTGGCGGATGGGCTACAACACCAGAAGACCCCACCGGGTACCACTCATCTCCACTACAAATAGGAAAAAGAGGTTACAATTTGCACAAGCTCACCAAAATCGGACAGTTGAAGACTGGAAAAATGTCTGGTCTGATGAGAAAAATGTCTGATCTGATGAGAAAAATGTCTGGTCTGATGAGTCTCGATTTCTGTTGAGACATTCAAATAGTAGTCAGAATTTGGCGTAAACAGAATGAGAACATGGATTCATCATGCCTTGTTACCACTGTGCAGGCTGGTGGTGGTGGTGTAATGATGTGGGGGATGTTTTCTTGGCACCCTTTAGGCTCCTTAGTGCCAATTGGGCATCATTTAAATGCCACGGGTTACCTGAGCATTGTTTCTGACCATGTCCATCCCTTCATGACCACCATGTACCCACCCTCTGATGGCTACTTCAAGCAGGATAATGCACCATGTCATAAAGCTCCAATCATTTCTAATTGTTTTCTTGAACATGACAATGAGTTGACTGTACTACAACGGTCCCACAGCCACCAGATCTCAACCCGATAGAGCATCTTTGGGATGTGGTGGAATGGGAGCTTCGTGCCCTGGATGTGCATCCCACACATCTCCATCAACTGCAAGATGCTATCCTATCAATATGGGCCAACATTTCTAAAGAATGCTTTCAGCACCTTGTTGAATCAATGCCATGTAAAATTAAAGCAGTTCTGAGGGCGAAAGGTGGTCAAACACCGTATTAGTATGGTGTTCCTAATAATCCTTTAGGTGAGTAAATGTCGTTGTACCTTCTAAATCACGTGCACTTCCTCAAGCTAAACCTACAGTTTTAAAATGTCAGAGGCAAAACACATCAAAACGAATGCCACCAAGATTTTCAACTATGAAAAACAATTTTTTATGCACGCCGACTGTCTTCTCTCATGGCAGCTTTTCTCTGCTTTTACAGCATCGCTCTGTTTATACTTGGTGTCAACTCAGGTTATAAACAAACCTCAGACTGTTGCAAAATTAGCTTATGTAACTTTTATTTTTATGGAAGTCTATGTTCACGCTAAAGTGATTAATATATTATTTTTAATATTTATGCTCCAATTATGTTTTCATCAACATAAAACAACTTTATACCCATAAAATTGAATCTGTTCCTGCAGTTTAGTTTAAAATATGAACTTAACATATCAATTGTGTTGAATAATTGTAATTTCAATGTTGTGACACCCCCCACTTACTTGATGGTATTTATTTAATAGCTTGTTTTATTTATTTAACTTTATTGCAGTAGAAAAAAAGAAAACTACACTAAATCATCTAATATTTTATTTGAGACATGGACAACCTCTACTTTTCAGCTTGTCTACTTAAAAAAAAGTTTTAAAACTCAAGGTTTCATTGCAAAATTGAACAATTTGAAAAAATGTATGTGCAACGTCTTTAGTTCAGTCAATAAAGATAGCATAATTTAGTTTAAATGTTTTATTTGCAGAAAAAAACTTGAATTTGAATGAGGTGTAAATATATTTTGCTCCAACTTTGTGTTCCATGCAATCAGATCCCAAACTGTGTTTCTAAGGGGATTTAGGCTGTGTGTTTGACAGGCCAAGATGCCCAGCAGTCAGACCACCTGCTGCATGGAGAGCTGCCAGCAGAGTGTCTACGCATGCACACGGAGTAAACATGCAAAGTCTCCGAGGGACCTGATGGATGGTATGGAAAAAGTGCAAAGCAAATAAGAGGGATGCAACTATTTAAAACCTGCAATGTTTTTTGTGCTTGATATGTAAAAAAGGCATTAATTAATGGAAAGGGCTTCAACACATAGGCCTACTGAAGGTACTCCAAATGTTACCATCACAACCCCAACTCTAACCCGAACACCCAAAAAATATAGTTTCTCAATCCTCAAAATGAGTCTTAAAGCTCAAACACAACAAATACACATACAATTTCCTTAACTTTACCTAATAATTGCCACTCTGGTCCTCGTGACTACACATGCGCAGAGCTTCTGGCACCCTCAAAGCCACATACTTCCGCGTGGAACTTGGCTCGCACTCACATCCGAAGACTCGGGGTATTCTATCCCTTAATAAAGATCACACCGGTGCCAGACATTTTCAGCTCCTGCAGTGGCATCATCACAACATCAAATTCTTTAATAAACGAAAAAGCTGTAAATAAAGTTGCTTCATCATCTATTTTTACAACTCAGACATCTGGAGCAGCTGGAGTTACTTCAGGTTTGAGTCACAGCAGCTATAAAATCCCTGACTTTTCTTAATTTCTGTTTTTCAGGAGTCAAAATTATCACGACCAGCACCAGAGCTTTTAGCTGCTTGTGTAGGTTGTCCTGTCCGCTGATCCGAAACCAGGCGCTCTCACTTAACATCACCCACACAGATGCTGCTCCCACATAGATGCATAAGAGGAAAACACTGAAACGCCCACTTCCACTGGATCTCTCTCAGCATTACCTAAGAAGAGGCTGACCAGCCTGAGCAGTGAGAGACGAGTCTAAAAATACAAACAGCGCTTGATCTATGAGCACACCCGGCAGACGAGGAGCACACACACATCACTGACTGCTGATCCTAGAGTGATCGTTTTAAATGGTTTCTTTTACAGAAAGCCAGCAAGGCTGAACTGATCTAGTGCAGCTTTCACCTGTGGAACAATCCATC